TCAAAGTTTAAAAAAAAAAGATAAAATGGGGATTGTCTCATGACGTTTCTTTAAAGCTGCTTACCAATTTCTTCTAAAGTGAGATAGAAATTTTTAATGATTTTGAAGCTGATTATCTCAACATCATAGTGAGTGGACATGGTTTTAAAATACTTTTTAATCGATATTTTCATTAATATATTTATTATGAATAAAACCGAAAATATTTGCAAATCCATGCATCCTTTTTTTCTGTTTCCAGTATATGCCTATAAGGAAACATCTTTAATGATTATCATGGCACAAAGTAAAATCGTTAATCTCCTGGGAGGAAAAAGATACAAATCTTGAATTAAGCATAACAAATTGAATGTAATTATGAGAACAAACGACTGTCGTTCAATAATTCCTATACTATCAATAATTCAGTTTCACTTCCTCTTCTAAGCTTTTCATCAACAACGGAGAATACTTTAGTCAAAAGGCAAAGAGAACTCAAGGGAACGATTTAGTAATTTAGATCTTTGATCCAATTTACGAAATAAAAGGTTATTTAGATCTTTATTCATGAGTAAATAAACGTTAGGTGATTGTTTGTCTAATTATGGAGAAGAGTTAATTAAGGAGCCTCTTTAACTAGCCATTCATGCGAGTTTATAACTGAATGAAAAGTAGCTCTTTTAGGAGATTGAGTAAACACGACAACAATGATATCGGTGTTACAACTTAACTGTTTAACCGGATGTTTATAAAACATCGTGTTTATATTTAATTAATGTGAACAATGCAACGATCCTATTTTAAATGAATTGATTATTTAATGAGCAAATTATGAAAAAACATATCAGGAACAACGTATCGTTAGGAGGACTGCAATTCTAAACAAGCTCTCTCTTTTAGAAGTTGTGCAAGAAGTGTAATTTAAATGAAAAAAATAAACTTACAAATAAATCAATAAATCTGCAAGTTTTATTCAATTTATAGATTTTTGTTTTACGAATATAATTATGTATATTTTTTATCTACATGTAAATACATTGCTTTAGCATACACAGCTATCATCTCAATAGAAGAAATCAACAGCTTAAAAACTTACAAGACTTTCAACTCAACACACATCCATAAAAGATACCACAGAGTCTGACCCATCTGTTTCATATTTGGACATTTTGTTTGAAAAAGACTCAATGGCAATCTTACAACTAAGTTCTATGATAAACGTGATGACTTTATCTTTTCAATCGTCAACTTCCCTTATTTATGTAGCTATATACCTTCATCACCTGCATACGGTGTTTATATATCTAAATATATCTTGATTCGATACGCAGGACATGCTCTATGTATGTTCAATTTTTAAAACGAGGTAAATTATTGACAAACAAGTTTATCAGCCGTCTCGTTTAAAGTCATCATTTCGTAAGTTTTATGGTCTATACAACGACCTAGTCAGCAAATACAAATGATCATTTAGTCAAATGCTGACTGTCTTTTTATACTAATTGTTAGTCCATTATTTACACACTGAAATGACGACGGATTTTCCCTTACTTCCCGAACATGACAAGGAGCACAAGGCGGGTGTGACTGGTCGACAGGGGATGCTCACTCCCCCATGGCAACCGATCCAACCTCTGATGTTTTGGAGGTCTGTGTTTGCTCTGCTCCATTTTTTATTGTTTTATGGACTTTTGAGTTTGAATACTATTCGTTATATCCATATATTAAATAAAGAAAAATGCATATTTATTCTTTGAATCCTTTCAAGGGGTGGTTGTAATTATATTAGCAAGATGGCTTAGTAGTACAGTCCATTTACAAAAAATGGGTAAAACTCAAATTACTCTTTTTTATGCATGTCGTTAGACATGTATAATTAATATAACGAACAATTTTGCAAATACAGATATTCAACACGAAGGTTTGTTTATTTGTCAAACAGGAGTGTATATGAAGTTTCCTGGAATACCATCCATGACTGAGATTGGAGTTTGTTAGCCTTAGTGATTGTCGTATCCTTCTACAGAGCACACAGTTGTCAAGTTGTTATCAATACTGGCTCTGTTGTTTCAGTTGGTTTGGCGGTGAGTGCTATTGATTTTCCTTGCAGGTGGTTGTTTAAATCAATCAGTTTAAAACTGAATTGTCAAATAAGTTTGCGTAAATATTGGTCTGGACTTAATTGCAAATGCGCAAAATCATATGTTTATGTATCCATATCATTAATGGCATTAATAGTATGCAGTTGTATTGCTACAAAGATAATTTAAATTTCTGAACTTTCAATTTATGACCTGTACAATGTAACATGCACTCGTGATAATAAACTTCAAATTCTAGAACTAAGAATTAGCTGACTAACGAATATTCCGATAATTATTCAATTTTTTCATTGAAAGGCTTCAGGCTTTTACCTTCATATTTTTATTCAACATGTTTAAAATACTTTCAGTCTAAGTTCCAATACTGCATCTCAAGATAAACTTTTTGGGAAAAACCTGAAGTGCAAATAAACAAACATTACAGTTTATATAAGTACATCTTTGCAATACCATCTCTTTATCACTTCCCTCAGAGTACAGTTTCAAGACCTGCATCGACATCGACTACAAATTCGTATCGAAAGCCGATTTTTGATTCATTAAAATTAATGCTTCAATATCGATGACGTATCAAATAACAGAATTGTCGCGGTCCTTACAAGCAAATTAATGATTTTCATTTTTTTTTTTTTTTTTTTTTTTTTAAAATGCTTCCTACAAATTAGTTCCATACTACATACCTGATAAAAACAAGTTTCAGCAGAGAAAAAAAAATCCCTGAACTTGCAAATATTTTTAATATTAATCTTGATATCTTTAAAAAATAAAAACCAAAAATGTATATATGGGAGTATGTTAATTTTAGAAAAACACGTACTTCAGGAAAAGGGAAAAGTCCATGTTTCTTTTGTAAGAAAATCTTGATAAATATAGTCAATAATTATAAGAATTCAAGTTTTAAATATTCTTCTATTACAGATTGATCCTCATATCTGCTGTATAAAAATGTCTTAAAGTTGAAGACTAGTTAGTATGAATTTGAAAAAAAAAAATGTGTGCTCAGCTATAACAACTTCAACACAAACCTACAAAAATATTGCAAGCCTGATTACGCATCCTTTTTATGCAAAATTTGAAGAAAATCATTCTGTGCACAAGAATGAAGTTTTGCATATGTCAGAAGTATTTATCTTTACTATACATACTGATGCAGGGTTAGAAGTAATGAAAGCAGTATTAATTACTACTTTTTATTCATTGTCCAATACAAGCGTCTGTAATCTGAAATATTTAATATCAAGTTAAATCAAAGACTCCATTATTAAGAAATGATAATCAAACTGAAGACTTCATAATGCATAAATTATTTATCAAATTGATCTGAGAATGCTGAATGCTTTTTTAAAACATTTCATAGTACCTTCGTCAAGCCTGTTTATTGGACAACTTCCAGGAAACTTTTCAAAAAAATAATATACAACATAATACAGTGATTTCTTTTTAATTTTAATATTTCAATTTCAAAGTTCAGAATGATTTGAAATAAACCATTTAAAGATCACTCTTCAACTAGATAATCAAATAAAAAGAGAAAACAATACATGTACATAAATGTCATTAAATCATATTCAAGGCACACAAAGATATATATGTTATATTTTTCAAGCTCAAGAGATCAAACAGTGTAATGGACGGTATACATATAAATACTGTTTTCTTCATGGAATTCCATGGAATTGGACAAATAAGGAATGATATGAGTATATCTAAGAGACAAATGTAATGTAATATATGATATCATGAAACACGTTGTATACAGAATTTGCATAAGTAATGCTTGTCTGAACGTTCTGTACTGAAAACAATTGATCTCTCATTTCAAAATTTCAGTGAAAAGTGCTGATTGCTGCTCAAAATAGAATCAATGTATATTCATTTAACACTAACGGGTGCTTTTGACACATCCTGGTATTTCAAAATTCTTTATTATACAGGGTCTTTGCCTTTCCATTATTTAAATAAACTAATCAATGTTCTATCAAAATGAATATTACATAAGATTCTATTTGATCAAATATTTTGTAACTGTACGTTTAACAAAGACACAAAACTAATGCGCATGTTGTTGTAGAGATTCATCACCAGAAATAAGTTATAAAAGGATCCAACCTTTATTCCATGGATTACATATATTTTATAAACAATGCATTCAGTTAACAAATTTCAATAATTTAGCGTAAAATATTACATTACAGTGCATATTACAATGCATTTTATCCGATATGCTTTGTACATCTAAAAGAACATATCCTTCAATTCATCGCATTATTCAAGTAAAATAATTAAAAGCTTTTTTCATGAATGTTGCCTTTCCTTTAAACTTGCATCTGGTCACTCAACCAATAAATATATCACATATAGCATCCATAGACATGTATCATTTAGAATTAGATACATTATAGAAATTTATAGAAGTTAAAATTATAAATCATATAAAAATTATAGAAAGTTTATTCCCATAAAAGATTTTAAAATGGGTCTGCTCCATTTGTTTTCAAATTAGCATTTACAATGTATACAGGAATAAAGTTAGATGTTACTTATGTAGCATGCATAATAGAATGTCACAAGCATTATGAAAATTATAATTTTGAAAATGGACGGGGCACTGACAATAGCTTATACAACAAAATGCTATTAAATTCTTGGGATACATACGTATTCAAATATACTTTCTATGTAGTTTGTGCTGCTCATGAAAAGCATTCAAGGGACAGACTTGAAAAAGTTTATCTTATGGAACTATGAATAGTATTCATACAGAGTAGAAAATACATCATTGATTAAAAAGATTCTGACTGCATACTTTAACCTTTTACATTTATTTTACATCTTTTAAATATTATTAATATTGTAATGATATTTAGTCAAGGAAATAATATAATTCAATACTAGATTTAAAAGTAAAAAATACTCTTCTCACAAAGATATTGGTAATTTTCTTAAAAACAATGTATTGAAGGTAAATCTTAAAAGAAATGAACACGAACACCAAACATTTCAAAGGAAAAGTAAAATAAACATCAAATGTAAACGTATACAATAATATATAAATGCATAAATATAAAATAGTGGACGGAAATGATGCATCACAAATAATCTTTTAGGTCAGGAGGTTTTGATTTTAAAAAAAACTGGTGATTGAAGTTTATGATATGTATTATATATCACATTTTACATTTTGTAAATACCCCCTAAAAAGACAAGACCTTCTTATTTTCTTTTTTAGAGAGAAAATTTTCGACATGTATCAATTGAATTTGATTGCTTTGAATAAATAACATACCTCAGAACCAAAGAATAACAAACATATACGATGTTCACTGTAAAACATCATTGTGGGTGTAGAAGCATGTCCATATTTTATTCTCAAATGCATTTTAATTCATCGTTTATATAGAATTTAAGAAATCAAACATTGACTTTCATGTTTGATTTTAAAAGTACTTATTCTTTTTGTTAATACATGTAGATGGACTTGGCATATATTATATCTCCTTATATGTCTTTTTCTTAAAACATTTTTAATCATATAAACGTTTAGATGTTGCATCAAATGTTTTTAAAAATGGAAATACGTTTCAAATTTATGGTTAAATAATGCTTTGAATCTATTCAACTCATTTGCACCACTAAGAAAACAAAGCAATGAAAGTCACCACAAAAATCACAGTATGAAAAGAGGACAAATAACAACTGCTTGAATTTGTCTGGCTAATACTGATATTATGAACTCCTATGAGCAAGAGACGGAAGATCAGTGCGGGCCTAGTTCTTCTTTAGGGGTAATCTTTATCTGACTGCCTGGCATTAGTTCATCAAAGAAAAACCCCAGCATTCTATGAGCCTGAAAAAGATTGATAAATCAAATTAATTACACAAAAATAATATCTACATTTAGAATAAAAACGTCATAGTACTACAATAGATTCAAACTTAAATACTAGAAGCATACAGTGTATTGTCAGATTTAAAAAAAATATATAATGTGATCAATTGAAAATAAACACGAAAAGGTGTCTTCAATAGTGGGAAAAACCATTTCTTTTCTCTAATAAACCAAGATGGTCATTTTCAACATTTAGTGATCGCACCACTTTATTCGCAAAGCGATGAAACAAAAAGCATTGGTTGACGTTAAGTAAAATAGTTGGAAGGGAAGGATTGAATAGTGATACTGATATGGAATAATCACGTCCGATCCAGATCCCAATGGGAGCAGGCAAAGCCTCCCAAAAGTCCTATCTCATTCTTCCCAAAGACATTTATAGATGTGATAAAAATCTGGGTGTTTGAATTTGACATCGAAATGTGGAAATAAAGGGTTAGCTTGGAGAGAGCTTGATTCTTATTAAGATAGTCAAACCACTGCAATTACTAAAACAAAAAAGGATTTCGAAATCTGCACTCCACTTGTTTTTCATTAAATTTGGATCTGAAAGCTGTGCTAAATCTGCAAATCATTTCACAATAAAAAACAAATGAAGTATTTTCTTATACAACTTCTGAAAGGTTTATCTAATTCGTTTTTGCAATTTAATACCAAGTTTTCACTTAGCAGAGGTCCTTTGTCAACGACTCTTTTAATATTTTCAATCTCAAGAAGTAATTTTGGATGAAAAAGCGGACGTTTTGACAGATTCATTGCCATGACTGTAGAGTTCTATTAATAAACATCACACGAAATATTATTTGTTAACGAAAAATTTATATTTATTGAAATCGAAAAGATTTACATCAAAGGTTAATCATTTACTGTGAGAATACATGTTTGCTGGTCAAAAATTAAAAAAGACTTTTCTCACTAAAAAACAATAACACTATAGGCCTATACATTGAAAGGAAACAGAGAATCAGAGTAAACATTTCGAAATTATTTGATGTATTTTTTTCCGAATGGTATTAGAATATTTCAAAACGGTTGATATCATCAGACAGCAATATTCCCACATAATTGTTTGCCTTTTATGTATTCTTACACCTTTGTTTATTGTTGTTTAATTTTCAATCTTAAATTTCACTTTTAGGACACTATTTTAAAGCTGAGGTCAATTAGTGATCTAATATGTTTCAAAAGTTCATATAACTTCAAATACATAAACAAGACAAATGCAATTCCGTTATTTGATACTGTATAAATTATGGACTGTTTCTGATGCAAGAATTCGTACTACATTATAGTACTAAACCCTAGACCGGTCCTTCGAACGTGTCCATATAAACCGCGGTCTTGTGTCACAGTAGGTGCTGGCATAAAAAAGATCTCCGACTGCTCAATTGCCGTGAGTGCCGAGTACAAGACAAAATTAGCAGCCCTCCATCTGCAAGTGGTACGTTTGTGAGTTAAAAATTCCCGAGGACAATTAATAGCAAACAAAACTAAATCTTTTACATAACCAATTCTATTAACTTTAATAAACCGAATTTCTGTCCCTCAACCATTTTTTTTTCAGTGACACGAGAAAAGAAATCTACATGTATTTGTCATGATTAATATCAATAACTTTCGAACTAATCAATTTTTCGGAATAAACGTTTAAGCATATTCTCCTGTGAGAAATGCTAATGGATATATCTCCTAAATTTGTAAAGTAACTTGTCATTATCAAAAGAAACTAAATAAGAAGAGACGGAAGCTCGAATGTCTCTGACCGCCAACAGACCCTCGTAAATAACGGACCGGAAGTAACTGAACCTCGACTTCAGTTCAATTACTGGCATTAAAGTCATACATTATTTATTTTTAATGACTCCAATCAGAGTTGGACAACAGACCATTAAAGATTTAAACTTTTCGATAAACATGTGGTGCTTCGCAATAAAATTCATAGTTTGCAAAACCTTAATTTAACGATTCAATTTACTGTGCATGTCATGATTGCAAACCAGCATTTCATTTTAAACAAAACACAGACAGAAATAATAATATTGCTCAACAATGTCAGTTTTTAGAATGGATTCATATTAGCGTACATTTACACTATACGAATACACTGGTACTCGGCCCATGATTATATAAGCTATTGCTCTGGAGAACACTAGACCACAATGCCATTGCATTAGACTTAATTGCATACTGTTGTTGAACATTCATCACTTCTCCATTCTGCATAGAAAAAAAACCAATTACAGTTTCTTCCTCCTCTTTAAAGTGTTATTAAATTCTCCGTGAGTAAACTCCAAACTTTATAATACCCATCATGTGTTTTGATCCAAGTCCTTCTAATATCTTTGGGTCTGGGACGACAAAGGCCCGCTTTTTCATGCCGCTTCATTTTCATTAGTTATCGATTGAAAAATTAAATACAAGCTGATCATTTTTCTTATACATTCGCATCACATATATACGACCGCCCTCGGTTTCTCCGAACGGTTCATTAAATTTTCACAATTAAATATGCATTACCCACCAGTGCCAAGGAAATTCACAGAAAGTATAAGAGCATAGTAGTGGATAAACTAACTCGTTCTTTGAGATGAAAATAAGTTTCTTCATATTAGCTGAAGATCGGCGGCCTAATGATTTACAACTTATGCAATTAAAATCCAGCTGATTCCCACCAACCGTTTCTTCAATGATTGAATCATCATCAAATCTGTTTTGTTCATGAAATTATTCCTAATGCCCCAAAAGGCCATCCATCTTCATCAACCAGATTAAGCTTCACGAAAAACCCCGAATGATAAGATTGACGGTTAGCAATGGTGCTTAATTCTCCATAACAGGGTAATTGAATTCATACCATAAGGAGGGAGTTGTGGGTCGTAAAAGTATCAAATATTATTATTGCAAAAATTCTAATAATCTTCCAAGATATTTATCGAATCCTAACTGCACATGTTCGTTTGTTTTGTTTAACGTCTCTTTCGAGTTTTTTTTTCATTCAAGGCGAGACCCCACCACTTGTCGGTTGGAAGGGCTGCAAATTTATGACGAACACTCGGTACACTACTGCGACATGGAACCTCGGTTCATACGGTCTCATCCAAAGGGTCTCCGCATCCCACAGTGCAAATTCGTACACGTGATGTAAGGATCAACTCCTTACTCTACTAGAGTGAACTCTCTAACTTCTGTACAGTATTCTCAAAATTATATCTCACATGGTCAAAACAAAACGTAATTTTTTTTCTTTGCATTTATCATCGAGTATTTGCAAACCCTCATTACATGAATAAATGAAAAAAAAACAACATTGGAATGACTTGTGCTTCAAAACTAAATGTAGCTTCTATGGCGGAGAAAAAAAAAAGTCGATTTTAGTCAGTTATATTTATGGAAACATTGATGTTAACCTGCAGTTTGTAAATAAAAGATTCACAAGTCTCTGTTTTGATCAGGTACTCTCGTCTAGATTACAGCTTTTGAAGATGCCATCTTCAAATGACACACACAAAGGCTTCAAATTGAGCTTCCCAGTCAAACATCAAAGCATTAATTAGACAAAACTGTGCTGCTACTTAACAAATTATGTAAGCTGAGGTTTGAGTACGCGGATAATCCCCTCTTTAAAAAATAAAACTACAACCCTAAAAAATTATCTTGTTCTATTGAGCAGGCCTTAAAGTCTTCCGATAATTTTGACATGCGTTTGAAAATGAATACTGTTTCAATTCTGTATAATATGGAAAGAGAAACTTTAATGCGTGTGAGAAGTTAAACAATCACAGAATAACGTTTCTTTTGAAAAGAGATCGATCAACTTTGGAAGAAAGCAATCAATTTGAAAATAATGGAAAAAAACATGTTTTAGAAAACGTAAGGAATACATTTTCCTATTTGATGTTTATGCTGAAATACTTCAATTCATTTCACTGCAGATAACTGAATATTGATAAAAAAAAAACGTTTATTGCTTTCAAGACCTTATTATTTGCAATAGATATTAAAACTTATTTTTGTGATGGGCTGACAGACCATCAAAGCGAGAGGAAACCTCCTGGGCCTACAATACCAGCCAATGAATTCAAAATAAAACTTCCATTTTGCCGTATATTTTGTCTCCTCTAACTCCCTGTACTTCATTTGCTTGTGTTTCATCTGAATTAGTGGGAAAATTATGGCGCACAAAGGAATAAATTATTTCAATTTCAAGCAGTTACTATAAATTTTTGGCCAGAATGATTCTTCCAAATTATTGGACAAAAGTTCAGTTAATGCGATCTGCTTCATCTCAACGCTTTCATCTCTTCTTGATCGATAAGTTAGTAATAAAACATTATGATGACCCCCGAGACAAAGAAAATTACATCAACACTGCATATCAGATCCTGTGACGCACCTCGAAGTGAAGTAATAATAGATTTTGACAGGGAACCGAAAGACTCCAGGTTTTAAGGGAAAAAAGGCATTTCTGGATTATTTAGCTCTTGAAAAAGTCCTATGAAAAATTAAAACAAACTACATAAATAGTAAACAAACTCTATTGTTATCTCATTTAGCATAGACAAACTATCTTTGAGTCAAATATTGACAAATTGTAAGGCAATTTTTACACAAGTTTTTCCTTTTATACGATTGGGACAAGGAGCACAAGGCAGGTGTAACCCGTCGACAGGGTATGTTTCTTCCTTTATGGCACCTGATTCCAAATGTTTGTGTTTTGCTCTACTCCTTATTAATATTGTTCCAGTTGACTTTTAAGCCTAATAACTGTTCGTTATCTCCATTTTCATGCATATAATTGTTTGTCCATCGTTCTAGATACCTGTTGGGTGGAAAACAAAATCATGTTTACGTATTTTGAAGATCTTTTGGGTAACATTATTTGACATTTCCCTTTAAACATTTGAACTATTCTTCTAGCAAACAAAGCCACTGGACAATGCTGAACAGAAAAAGTCATACGTGTAATAGAAAAATGTCATACATACAATAGAGAAAATAAGCACAGAAAACATGAAGAAAAACAAAAGAAAGAGATACATGACCAAAACGAAGAAGGGCATATGTAGAAGACATGTTTTGGTGCTCTTCATAGATCTCCACAAGGAAAAAAAGAAATAGTGGGTATGTAATTACAGACAACCTAACCAAAACAACCGTTAATTCAATAAGACAGAATCCCATGAACATTTAATGTCAGTCACCTGTAAGAGACACAAATGCACTGACAAAAAGCGGTCAACTATACACCCAAGGTTAATCTTTATTGAAAGAAGATGTCGCAATATGTCACTGATGCTGCAAACTTAGCATGATTTATTTCTTTATTCTTTTATTTCCCTGTGGGGCAGAATTATCTAATCCATTAAGCTTTATGGACTGACACATTACAGATGTTTTCTTACACTTTTTAACTACTGTACATAATTGAAAAGTTAAACTCCAGGTTTAAACTTTTCTTTGATCACATAATTAAGAGTAATAAAAACTAACTGACTTCTTTTGTGGAAAACAAAGTCAAGCTATATGGAGCATAAAACATTGTTGAACATTAAATTTACATGAGACGCTGTGTAATGGTATTGGTATTTTTCCTATTCATTGTTTTGGGAACACAACAAAGGCTGTTTACTAGGTATAGCCAGTAGCCCTATTTACAGCTCAGACAAGTGAGTGATGGTATTGTAATGGGCTGTGGCACATAGACTCCTATATTCCATGTTATAACCACTGTATAATCAACATATAGCACCCATTTCATGCCTGAGAAGCATGTTTATAGAGAACACAATCAATTCTTAAAGGACTTCAGCAGACAATGCATATTACTGATTCAATCAACAACAGCAAGCCATGCTGGTTCTCAAACAAATTTCATTTTTCATATTGAAATTTTGTCAAATTTACATTCTTGTTAGAAAAGAAGTTTTAATATTCATATTATGTACATTGATTTAAGGTAGTCCGATCCTCAGGTCTATAAAATTAGCATTTAAGTAATCAACAATGCTCATAAAAGTATCTCTGAATCCATAAAGTTATGTAAATTTATCCACAGTATTTCTTTAAAGTTAAAGATTTGAGTAAATCATATTATATAGGGAAAATTGTCCAATATTTTTGCAGAAAAAGCGAATTGGAATATCAGCTATGCATTTTCTAATTGCAAATTGATCAACAAATATATTATAGGTTAAAATACGATAGGTATCCAGGCATTCAGAAATATTGTCATGAATTTTATACTTATTTGGTATTTTTTGTCTTCTATTTCCATCATGTTTTCTATAATACATATTGTAAAAGGCTTTTGCTATCTTTGCAAGACAACACAAATCACTTCTTATTTCATAACATGCTAATAAGCATTGGTATCAAAGCTGGATTCAAGAAAATCTTACTTCTCTAAAATTGTATTAATTTTTTTTTTCGTTTTATAGGGTACAAATGTCAACTTTTTAAAAGACCTTTTCTAAGACTTCCAAAAACCTTTAATCTTCTAAAGATGAATAAAATGAAAATTGTTGCATGAAAAATTTTCATTTCAAGCCTCATATTGATGCATTTTAAATTAAATATTAATTTTTGGAGTTATGCTTCCTGGCTGAGGATCGGATATCCTTAATGCACACTTCATAATGGCTCTACATCAAAAACTTCATAGGAACAGCAAAAGAGAAAATATGAATGATCACTTTTTATCACTAGCAACGTTAACTTTGTTGCTTGTGTTAAAATCTTTAATCATTTACAGATTCTTTAAGCATTGAAATTTTAGTCACTGGCTCACTTTTGCAAATTTTGTAATTAAAATTAGCAAATTGATTTTAAGCTTTGTGGGAAAAATATCAAACAATGTAAATGCATGTATATTATTGTTTTTGCAGTCTAATCCCTCATGTGAACCTCTTTTTCCTGCAAAAGAATAAAATATTTTAATGTTTAAAGCAAAACAATTGCTAACTTGATTTTTGGCTCAAGTGAGCTAATGATTTGCCTTTTTCTGACTTCAACCTTTTAAATTGCATAACCAGCAATTTTTGTTACAGTGTATTGCTGCTTAATGATGCATTTAAAAAAAACCAAACTTGTTATACTTTTGATTGAAATTTTGAAAACTAGGGAGTAGGGATATGATTTGAATACACCTAAATCTGCACCACACTTGGAATAATGCACATCAATATCTCTACTGAATATTTAGTACCCCATTCATATGACATGATTTGCATATCTCAGTATATTTTACACATATGTAAATTTACTCACATATGCATTTTTTGTCATAAGAACTGATTTACTCATATGCAAATTCTGCACTGTTGAGTAAATGTACACCTGGTCAGGACTAAATGCAAATTAACTTTTGCATACACTTTGTAGCAAATTATTTATTCATGTGTGTAAATGTTGTCATATGAACACGCAGCAAATTTACATATACCCATTTTCATTGTTGTTTCGGTTGTGTATTCAATGGTATATAAAATATTAGTTGGTAAAAAAGGTGGCTAGAAGGCAAAACTCTAAACAATGAGCCATCTTCTCCTCTGAGATAAATTTTCAAAATTTGCAAAAATGACGGCTTCTTGCACCCTTTCTGGCAAACCTTTGTTTATGTTTATAAAGATAAAGATGTGGTCTCAAACAAGTGCCCTGTGGGATCAATAAGTAGTACCCTTTAAGTTTAAGTTGTCTCCTTGTGAATGCTCCAGAGCTATGATATGAACATGCATTCCATCAATTGCTCGGGCCCCATTACCGTTTAGCTCTTGATGACTTTCTTCTACTTTTCTCTGTTTTTAATTCAGGCAAGCTACTCACATATAACTTAATGTTACAGGAATTTCAATAAACTCGTTGAAAGTAAGCATTCGTAAGTATGCTTCTTGGCACCTGATCCCACCATTAATTTCTACGGGTTTGTGTTCATTTCCTATTCACATATTTGTATTGTTCAAAGATTTTTAACATCGATTACTGTTACTTTTCTTCATCCTTTTCATTCTCCTGGAAAATACATAATTACATTCAAGCAGATATTTTATAATGGCCTTGCACACTTGATGTACTGTATTTTCCCAACATCAAAAAGATTCCAATAGTCCTATTTCTGCTGGAGACATCAACCAATAGATGGCAACAGTGACCTTTTTCTTTACAGCCAACTGCTCTTCTACAGTCTTTAAGACCAAAGCCAAAACATTTTCCAACATTTAACAAATTTTTTTAATAAATTTTCCTTCTTCGTGTGTAAATTCTTATACCATTCTTTGCCCTTTTAGTCATTAAGTTTGTTTTTTTTTTTGGTAACTCCCCCCCCCCCTCACTTTCTTTGAGGAACATTCAAAAGTTAGTCATACCCAAACATTAACGAAATACCCTTTTTCTATAAAAAATTACAATTATGAATCTGTGCATCTCCTTATTTTATATGAAAATATGAGGATTTGCTAACAGTACATAAATCTTGTCTGAACGCTAAGCAAATTAACTTTTACTTACATGTGTAGATTTACTAATATGTAAATTTGCACACATAAGCAAATTTTCGTCATATGAATGGGGTATAGGATAGATAAATGCTGACCTGAATCTCATATAAAGAACACATACACAATATATGAGCTAGTAATAATTATATCTGATCTATAAGTAGAATGGAAATAGGTCCATCATCCTTTTTACTTTGAAATTTATTTTTTTTTTTAAATTAAACATATAAAAGAGGAATGGTCATTATTTTAAAAAAATCTTTATAAATAAACTTGCATCTCTATGGCAAATTTGATCATCCTATATTACCAATATTAACCATTAATATTTCACATTTTGTCAATGACATCAATTGTTATACACTGTATTTAATCTGGGCCTTAATCCATGTGCTATCATAAATGCAAGGTATTAATTATGAAACCTAAAGATCAGCTGCCAAATCAGGGAATAAATATCTGATCATCTTACATAAGTTATGACGTTCATAAATACCCTGATCGCAAAAGGACCAGTCTCATTATTGATTTCTTAATTATCTATTAATCACATCTGCTTGCAGCGGCAATCCCCCTTTGAGTCCTATTTGGAGGATATGCATGTTATAAATGAATACCTACATCATATCTCATCAGTATGATCAAACACCAATGTGTGCTTCAATTTTTACTGTTTTTAAATTTGTTTTTTTTAGTGCAACATACTGTACAGCTGCAATAAGGATATAATTGGCTACGGATGATACCAGATGACAAAGTAATTTGATAAAGAAACATTATCAAATAATTCATCTGAATCGTTTAGAAAATCATTAAAAAAATTAACCTGTAAGAAATATCTGACAGCTTTATTATACTTTTTTGATGTCTGTTCACCATTTTATTGTGTATAGCTGAATTCTATCAGGGTATAGCTATCTGTTTTCTTCCATAAGAAACAAAATACATAGTGGCATGTGTTTATTAGTATTTGTTATTGTTTCAGTACCTGTTTTATGTCCGACGGACGGAAAATGCCTCCTCCATATTTACCAATAATGGAATCTGCACCAAAGTTGCTATTTAAAAGAAATAAAAAATATTCTTTCAATTTGCATTCTAGTTTAAATTGCAATCTAGCTAAAATAAATATTCATAACAACATGATCAGATGATATTCTCAATTGTAGAATATTTTGAACAGTTACTCTGTTTATTTGGTTTTATATATATTTATTGTATGCCCATCAATTTCCTTGTTTTGTTACTTTTAATTTAACAGAGTTTAATCTGATTTTCCAGATCACCACACTGTGGTTTTTTTAATCCATATCACCACTCTCTGAAACTGATGACATAGTACGCAGAAAGATGATGTTATTTTTCTAGCACATTAAAAAGTTCCAGGGCAAAATGCTTTATATATTATAATATTATATAACTTTGTGAAATCCAGAATTCTGATTGGTCAATACAAAGTAATTATTTTGTAATAACGACCGCTAAAAGCGAATAATGACTCGCACGAGCTGCCTCGTTTTCACTTTCGCTTTTGTCAAACATGGAAGGTCGCAAGTTTGTAAGTTGTAGGTGAGGAAAATTTAAAAGATATAGTTAAGAACTCTGAGGCCGAGAATACAAAACAATTACAAGGATATATGTTAATGTTTTTCGTGAATACTAAGCACATACCATTTCATCGTTGAATTCGACTTTTCCACTCGGCGAGCAGTTTTCGGACGGTGTTTACGCGATTACAGAGACTAAAGATTGAAATAAGACAAGCATGCCATGTGTATGATTGTATAGATAAATTATCGTAGAAGACATAGGTATTAATATTTTGTCAGTGCATTTCCTTTACAAGTGTTTAGGAGTGCAATTCTCAATCTGGGGGAGGGGGTACTCTGTGTTATTCGGAGATAGATACCTTGCATTATTACTATGTTATGGGTAAAAATTTATTACCGAAACAATTTTCCTGTGAGTAATATTCAATAAATTCTTAAACATTTACATCCAACTTATTTATGGTTAATACTAGCTATCGTATTATTTATATAATATAATAAATATGGACTCAATGCACGGTCAGTATGCATTTATAATGACCCAGGATGACAGATATTGACCTCAGATACATGGAGTATATCGACCTCGGGCTAGGGCCCTCGGTCGATATACATCATGTATCTTCGGTCAATATCTGTCATCCTGGGTCATTATAAATGCATATTGACCTACATTGAGTCCATATTTGTATAATATTGACTCCTAAATTTTACTTTATTATATTTAGCTAGTTGTAATGGGTATAAATGCTTTGTTTAATAGATAAATATTATAATGTTGATTTCTAAATTTCATTTTACTATATTAAGCTAGTTGTAAGGGGTATACTATAATAAAATTATTATTATGAGAGTAACTTGATCCAAAGACCCGTATCACGTTTCGTTGACAGGCGAGGATCATTAGATCAAACTTGCTACTTCGCGTCCTGTTTGATCTGAAGATCAACTCGATGTGATATGACTCTTTGGATCAAGTTACTGTTAACATAATATACAGGTAAATTTCGTTATCTCAACATTGACGGGACAATCGGAAAATGTCAAGATATCAGAGTTGAGACTCAACGTCCTTAATTTTACTGCATAGTAAAACCATAGACCTAAATTTAAAGACGTTTAACTATGTACATGTTTAAATAGACTGTAGCTTGTTTGTTTCAGCTAATCCCTCTATATTTATTAGAAAATCTAAGTTATTTAGAAATGTAATTTATGAAATGTTTCCTTTTCATCGAAATCTTCTCAGTTTACTTATAACAGTTTTCCGACATCCAGCATTCCGCGTGCAACTTGCTTTGTCAGAACAGGATACGAAATGTTGAGATAACAAGGTTTACCTGTATTTGTATTTTATGAAAAATATTAATTCTCATAAGCATCACCCTAAAATTATATGAAACCATAAACAAAATTTTTAAAAATTTCTCTTTCGTGCCTTTGAAACATTTCATTGGGAACAAAATAATGAAGTATATCCTAATTAGTCCTTTGTATTTCAGTGCTAGAACTGTGGCACCAATTCTAATCTTGTAGCACCAGAACTGATCTGGTGATGCATTTGATCATGCAGTCCACAAAAGGACAGATACAATACATATATGTGCAACTAAAAAGCCTTTGAATGGCCCTTGAAATTAACACAACATCCTCATTGTTTTCATCCCTTTCATTAAATTAGTTGTGCAGTCAACACTTGCAGATCAAGATAATGAGCCTTTGTAATAAGTTGGTGATTCAATTAAGAGCAGACTCAGGCTGTAATGTTAAGTATAAGGTGCTTTGTGATGTCACAGGGAGGTGCCAAGCTCACACCAATACTATACAGTAATGACAGTAAAACAAATTACAGCACACTAAATAAAGAACTTCATTAAGCTCTTTGCAAATGTCAGGCTTAAAATGTGCTACTTCTTGACTAATTTTCTTTAAATGTTGGCTGCACTTTTGAACTTACCTTCCTAGAATGGCATCAAAAGAAAGTACAGCATTGTCTCTCTGTAGTGCAAAGACAAGGGAGGGTCCAGACAACAACATAGGAACCTTAAAAATAACAACAACATAGGAACCTTAAATAAAGAAAAATATAAATAAATTTAACAACTTACAATGATTTAAACTTAATACAGGTTATACAGGCCATTTATTTGAGACAGTTGAAGTCATATAATTTGTTTTTTTTTTGTTTTGGGGGGGGGGGGGGGGGGGGAGGGGGAAGGGGTTACTAAAATTGTCTCTTGTCATGATTTTCCAAGTTGTATATATTGTAATGAGTCACTTAATCCAATTGATTTTTTTTTTCATTCCAAATGTATAAAGTAGAAATATTTGTCTTCCTGTTGTAAATGCAGTTCTGTAATTAAGAAATGGGAAATTTAATCAAATAATCTTATCTCTCCATATTCAGTGATCAATTTACTCTGACTTGAACATTAAGTGTTGTTCAAGTACAATAGTCATATTAAATCTGCTCCAATCCTCAGGGCTCCTGGGTATAACAGCTAGTCCTATTTCAGTTGTTTAGCCCTGACTGACAATGTATGGATTAAGCAGGGTAGAAATGATTTTTGCCCACACATGATCATAAAAATGCTATACAGACTAAGAAGAAATCCAATCACATCCCTATGCACGAATACAGGCATTTATTTGTGAGAGTTATTGAGAACCATTAAGATTTTAGAGTTACCTGTTTATAACTGCCAGCATTGATGATATGAAGGAAGATTTCAGCCTGCTCCTGTGTAAACCAAACCATTCTTGCTCCAACAATCTCAAATCTGTCACAAAACAAAAATTGATACATTTTTAACTGTAATTTTTTTAATGATTTCATTTATTTTTCATCTTAGCAAAAAATAACTTTATATATCAAATCTTGTTTATAAATCTCTTCTTATGTTTACCAGTCATATCCCATTTTGTACTAGAAAGTTATTTTTAGAGTGACTATCACTCAGTACTTATCGGTATGTAAAACCTGTTCTATATAATTTGAAATGCAAAAGCTATAAAAATTTTTATGTTTAAGGGATCAAATGTTCATGCGTTAAGGAAAATATATTGGTTTTTTGGGGATTTCATTTTGTGTTTCAGAATCTTTAAGTAAAAATATTTGTTAAAAATTTCATTTCATGCTGGAGATGAATTTGTGGGTCTTCATACCCTCAAAACAAATAATACAAAAATTCAACATATAAGTGATTTCAGTGTAACAATCAGTTCTGCTGTAATAGTATACTGATGTTTAAAGTTAGCATTGTCATCAGCAGTAAGGAAAAATATTTTTTCAGTACAATTATGTACCTTTTAAAATTTATTTTCCTTTCCTAATTAAACCTTTGATGCAGCATGTTTAAATATGAAATGCTGGAATTGACCAAGAGAGACGACTTAAATGGTACAGCTGTTCTACTTGTTAGATTAATTCCAGCATGACTACCGTTCTGTACTGCTGGTTTTCTTTTTTTACAGAATGATAACCTATTGGTTGGACTTTAAATACACACTCTTGTTTGAGTAGTTCCTCCACAATGTCAACATAAGCATAGTGTCCCCTGTCGTGGATCTTCAGAAGTGGAGGCTTCAGTACTATACAGTTAGTCTGTAGTAACAACTGGATCTCTGTACAAGAAAAGTTACATCAGTTAGAGATCTTGGAAACATTATATTAACAGTTATGTAAACAGTGTATACCACAACAAAAAAAATACTTGCACAAAAATTTAGAACAGTGAACACATGCCATGGCAATAAAAAAGGATATTAAAAGAAAAAAAATAACTTTACTAAGAAAATTCAACCAAAGCGTATTTTAAAATGCTGTGCAGATGAAAAATGAATTGTACAATACATTCTAGTAACCATCTTTATTTTGATCTAAATGTGTTCATTTTCTATTAGATTTATATATTTCAGATTTACTACCAGATAAATTTGTAATACTAATAGTATACCAATAGCCGAGTGTTCTCTGTCTCCAGGCATGTCTGTAACTTGAACAGTTCTTTTGTCTCCAGTAGATACATCTATAAGACTGTCCACTGCTGGACCTAGTATCTACAACAAGAGAAATTGTTAGCTAAAATGCACTACCCACTTTAATTTTTATTAAACTCCTAGATCTGAAAACAAATCTAAAATGAGGACATCTTGAAGAATGTCTATATGATGCCTTAAATTTGTGTCTGTGTACTGCACATATTTGAGTTTCCATCAAATGTTCCTTAGATTCATTTTTTTTTAACTCAATGTTTTTTCAATACACAAGTTTCCTTTGGTGCGCTCTTTCATTGAGGAGGGGAGTTTCGTTGCCACATAAACAGACACTTGGGACAGATATTTATATACTGGATACATTGCATCATCGATATACCGGTTTATCATAACTACATGATTGTCAGGATGCACTCTTCAACTCAAGAATAAATGAATGTAAAGGTGTCATATTTAAAACCAGAAGTCTCTGTCGAGACTGAAGCTCTACTGGTTTGTACTTATAGCAAAGGAAGAGAAAAGTACTTAAGCAGTTGGAAATTGAAACTTTTCAACAGCAATAAATAGAATAATGATCCTTGATTAAGTCTCTTTATGTTCTTAGTGCAGTCTACTTGCATGCCACATTTATATTATAATCAGACTAAAATTGTATTTGGAGTAGCATTTTGAAAGAATTTCACAGAAATTTCTTTTTTTAGTAACCACGGCAACACCGTTCATCGAAATCAAAAACCGATACACAGATTTATGTATCTTACTGTAGTCTACTTGTGTGCCAAGTTATATTGAAATCAGACTAAAACTGTAGAAGGAGTAGCATTTTGAAAGAATTTCACAGAAATTTCTATTTTTAGTAACCACAGCAACACCGTTCATCGAAATCAAAAACTGATAAAGAGAATTATGTATCTTACTGTAGTCTACTTGTGTGCCAAGTTATATTGAAATCAGACTAAAACTGTAGAAGGAGTAGCATTCTGAAAGAATTTCACAGAAATTTCTATTATTAGTAACCACGGCAACACCGTTCATCGAAATCAAAAACCGATATAAAGAATTGTGTATCTTATTGTAGTCTACTTGTGTGCCAAGTTATATTGAAATCAGACTAAAACTGTAGAAGGAGTAGCATTTTGAAAGAATTTCACAGAAATTTCTATTTTTAGTAACCACGGCAACACCGTTCATCGAAATCAAAAACCGATGCACAGAATTATGTATCTTATTGTAGTCTACTTGTGTGCCAAGTTATATTGAAATCAGACTAAAACTGTAGAAGGAGTAGCATTTTGAAAGAATTTCACAGAAATTTCTATTTTTAGTAACCACGGCAACACCGTTCATCGAAATCAAAAGACTTTTCAGAAGAGGGAAGAGATATGGACCTATAATAAATACGGTACAGTCACATGCATCTGATCATTGCATGTGAACAATCTAAATGACACATTGATCATTTATTCATGCACATTTGTATACAGAAACAACCTGTCCCACCTCCATGCTGAAATGGACTCATTTTGTGCCTCTATCGTAGGAGAGTTACAATCTCAAAACTCTCATATTCTTTATTTTCAATATCCAAAAACCATCAAATGCATGCAAAGTAAGGATAAAGTGAAGTCATAATCAAACATGTATCCGAGTATAAAAATTGATGACAATGTCATGAACAGTCTCTTTAAGAAAAAAATAAACAATGTATGGGAAAAACAAATCAATAGATCATCTATATGACCTTAAAACAAAGCTAATTAATTCATGCACAAATCTGAATTTCTTAAAGAACACACAGTCTTCCTTAATTATTTAATTTTTGAAAAAGACTATAAACAGGAATAGAATATCAAATACACAGGAGATACCTCTTCTTCATCATAATTATCAAAGCCCTGGATTTAAAAAATAAAACATTTCTGTTTATATATTTCATATACGATAACTTTTATTATTTGGATATTCCGCAAGACATTTTTTTGTGTGGTTATTATTATGACAGTACTGTTTTACCTCCAGGTCCCTCAGCTCCTCCGAATCATTACAACACAGACCATCTTTAAAGAACATCTTCAGTTCCTGTACAGCATGGGGAAAATTCTTTGAGCCTTCAAACATAGAATTTTTTTTAGTTAATAAATCTTGTAGCAAATAAAATCGATTTCTTAGAAAATTATATGTCTATTGGTGTCTTATTATAAAATTTAGATTAGTCAGAAAACTGAAAACATTTTCTGACTGCTGAACAAACTATCCTATAGATAAATATACTGTAGATCACTTAATTTTCGCGATACCTTATTTTTGCGAGATAGTCTTAATATTAAATCTTTATTAACGAGACAAAATTTTCACGAATTGTGGTCATTGCTCTATATAAATAATCTTAAGGAATTCTATTATACGCGAGAATGAAATTTTCTCGAGCTTACCGTCTCATGTAATTACGCGAAAATAAAGTTCTTGCGAATAAAAAGTGATTTACAGGACATGTATATATACTGACACGCAAAAGAAACGCAACACCCTACTTTAGGGGGAAATGATTATGTAAAGTAAGAATTTTGTATCTTAAAATTATGAATATCTTCAAGTTGGTAAACATCGGTAAATTAACGGTTGAACGATTTCCATACCATACCGGAAGTCAAGTTTGAGTCTGCTAAACAGAAATCAAAAATTGCATGTTTAACAAAACATTTGGCAATATTATGGAGTTTAAAGGGTTTTTTACTGTTCATCATAAGTAATGCAGCGATATTTCAAAAAATAAACTCTCCTTTTGTTTCCCTGATTTATGAAAATATGTGTGCATTTGCATTGCTCTAGCTGGAGAATTTCAATGTAAAGGTGATGGAGAGTTGCTGATGCGAAATTTCACTACATTACGCCTCAACAGGGTCTTACGTATCATATGCATTAAGGACAGTCCTTGTACCGGAAGTCCAAGGATGGCTACACTGCTCCAAGTTAGAGAAAATTCGACCTAATCATCTGAAAACGTGCATTTAAAAATGCCAAAGAATAATTCCTTCGCTCAGATCTCGATATCAATGAACCTATTGTCTCATAGAAATTAAGCTGCAGTTGTTGTTTAGGGCAGTCTTGCATGTTTCACTTGAATGGCTGGGAGGGGGGTGTTTTAACAGTCATATTTTTCTTAGTAAAGTAAACAGATAAACATTTAACATATTTATCAAATCTCTGATGTTCTAAAAAAAGCCTTACTTTATTCGCTTTTGAAAATCAATAGATAAAAAATCAAACATTTGTAGATTACTGCTTGTTGCGTTTCTTTTGCGTGTCAGTATAGTACTGCTGGGCAAAAATTTCGATATATTGCAATACAATGACAAAAAATATCTTATTCCAATACGTTTTTGTAACATTGATATATCGGTAAATGCTTAGAATAAGGAATTTTATTATTAAATTTAAAAATAAAAGTAAGAAAGGCTTGTTATTAAGTCGAACAGTTAGACAGAAGCTGTTTTATGGATGTATTTCAGAGCATAACTTTAATAAAATCATCCAACATTTTTTTCCTTTTGGTTACTTTTTATAGTTATGCACATTCTGCATGTAAATTAAAGTAATCATAATAAGAAAATGCCATTGTAATTTTCATTGAAAATATTGCAATACATATCGCAATACAGTAAAAAATATTGCAAAACAAAATCTCTGGCCAATACCCAGCCCTAATATATAGAAATTAAATACTGTAAATCACATTTTATTCGCGAGAACTTTATTTTCGCGTAATTACGCAAGACAGTGTGCTTGCAAAAATTAAATAGTATATAATAAGTATATAAGTTATATAAGTTAAATATATAAGTATAAGTATATATATATATTATATACAAGTATATAAGTTAAATAGTATATAATAATAGTATTCCTTAAGATTATATAGAGCAACAACCACAATTTGTGAAAATTATGTCTCGCAAATCAAGAGTCAATGACTATATCACGAAAATAAGGTGTCGCGAAAATTTAGTGATCTACAGTATTCATGCAATTCATCTGTGGATGTCAAATACTGAATTTTTACTTTCAGTAAGAAAGACCAGAGGCCCATGGGCCACATCGCTCACCTGAGCACTGTGGCTACGATAAAGTAGAAATTGGTTTATTATTGAAAAGTTTGAATCCAAAAGTAGTCCCATGACCAATCATGGCTTTGCTAAACTTGAGAAGAAGATTTTTTAAGAATGTTTCTATATAATTTCTATGTAAAACTTTGGTCGGCCGTTTTGGCCCCGCCCTACCCCGGGGGTCATGATTTGAACAAATATGAATCTACACTACCTGAGAATGCTTCCATATAAATATGATCAATTATGGCTTTGCTTTTCTTGAGAAGGAGATTTTTAAAGAATTTTCCTATACATTTCTATGTAAAACTTTGGTCGGCCATTTTTGCCCACCCCTACCCCCAGGGGTCATGATTTTAACAAATTTGAATCTGCACTACCTGAGGATGCCTCCATATATATATATATGATCTATTATGGCTTTGCAATTATTGAGAAGAAGATTCTTAAAGAATTTTCCTATATATTTCAATGTAAAACTTTGGTCGGCCATTGTGGCCCCGCCCTACCCCCGGGGGTCATGATTTGTTCAAACTTGAATCTACACAACATGAGGATGTTTTCCTATAAGTGTCATCTTTTCTGGCACAGTGGTTCTTGAGAAGAAGATTTTTAAAACATGTCACCAAATTTTTATTAATTCCCAATTATCTCCCCTTGAATGAGGGCATGGCCCTTCATTTGAACAAACTTGAATCCCCTTTAACAAAGGATACTTTGAGGCAAGTTTGGTTAAAATTGGACCAACGGTTTTTAAAAAGAAGTCGAAAATGTGAAAAGTTTACAGACAGACAGACGGACTACAGACAAAATGTGATCAGAAAAGCTCACTTGAGCCTTCGGCTCAGGTGAGCTAAAAAAGGTACAACACTGTACATATTGTTATTTAATGTATACATGTATATATGAAAGAAAATTACCATCTTCATTTATATATTTAAAAAATAAATGGCATTTTAAATCTAATGGGATATCAAGCAATTTTATTTCTGAACAGAAAAGGAAAACACAAAATATACGTTCTAATATACAAAACTCACCATGAAGACCGTTGGCGACTATATCCATCCCAAAGGTTCCCCTCCACAGGAACTGACTCTGGCGGCGAGCATTGAGGGGATCACAGGGCCCCAGTAAATCTAGCAGTTTCTTGACAGCATTCTCTCTCTCCAGGGCCAGGATAAATGAGGGGCCAGAACTCAAGTACTTCTTATGTTGATCCAATCTATCAGCATCCTACAAGTTTATTTTACAGTTATGTAAGATGAATTTTTCTCGCATTCATACACACGTACATGTATTACATGTTTTAAAGAAATACACAATATGCCCATCTTAACTGTAATTTATTTTATCTCTAATGAAGAAAGTCTGTAAAGCTAGAGTGCAGGCATTTTAGGTATTCCAAAATTAATAAAACAATGAAACATTGGTAGTTTTAACACATTCATGTTTGAAATAAACAAGTCCTCCTTCTCCTTACCAATTCTCTGTCCTCGTCGATAAGGCAGAGTAATTCCTCCTCCTCCTCAATCACTGCTAGCCTCAGTCCCACGACAGTGAAGCCCTCCAGCATGATCTTACGGAGAATCTTTGTCAGGTGCTTCTTCACGGCGCGCGGTTTGATGACCAGAGCAGTGGTGATGGGCTGTGGTCCTGACAGCATCACATCAAACATGGACTCAGTCATTACATCAGTCTTTATTGAATGAGACCTGTTGTACAATAAAGAAAAATTGCATACTTATCAATATCCCAATCATTTATTTCACTATGCCTTATGATTTAAAGTTATATGTCATGATATTACATCTTATTGAATATTTTACTCAAATTTCCTTGCCTTTTACTTTAAAACATTCAGTTTTAATATAAATGTACAAAAAAAAGACGGTTTCGGATGTATATTTTAAAATACAAATTCTTAAAATATGTTAAACGAAAAATGTTCACAGTAATAGCCTCCAAATGACTGTTGTCCTGTATAAATAAAATAAAATGCATACCTGGATCCAAAGCCTTGAATGTGATGCCGAACCTGAGGAAGGTACACGTGCGATTGTTGACAGGTGTCTGCCAATTAATGCTGTCCAAAGGTTTTAAAAATCTTATGTCCATCGTTGCACCAAACTACAACATATCTCTTTGAAATCAGAGAAGTGAAAGCCCTAGCAAATCAAGTTGATACTGTACATGTCCTCAGCATTCCTTGGACATGATGTAGTTACATTACAATTAGGGTACAGATTATTTTTTTAAAACCCACTTGAGCCATTTATGGCTGAACCTGATAAATAAATTGGACTTAAAAACCATGGTCTCCAGACGAGTTGTCAAATTGTTACAACACATCTATCCCTCTCAGTGCCAACACAAGAGCAGGTTCTGTAAAGTGGGAAATGACAAACTCTTGAGATGATATCTAAGCAAAAGTGTGTAATTTTTAGTGATAACACAGTCTAGACCATTTCACTCTTTAAAAGAGTGCCAGAACTTGGAGATTTATGAACCTCAGCACAATAGCAAATTATAAGCAGTATAGAAGTTTTCCATTCTGAGGAAAAAGATGTCTTTTTTTCAAGTTCTAGGGTCCTATAATACACATTTCATTTTGGGGTCAAAACCTAGTGAAAAAGGTGTACAATGTGCATACAATAGTACATGTACTGTAAATATAGCACTAACTTCCTTTCCAAAAATTCTTTACCTGACATTAGAGTGTGTACATTTTCCTTCCAGAGCCTGTCTCCCACTTCACAAGGGGTCACCTCCTTAGCCTGGGAGGTGGTCAGTCCAGGGAGCCATTTCATCCCTAACAGTTCAAACCCCTCCTTCAGCGGGACCACACTGGTCAGCTTCCCATAGGGAACCATACCCAAAAGTTTACCTGTAGAAGAGAAAGTACTGATCACATAACTCCACACATGGCACATAGATATGAGGCATTCTAAATTAATTTAATTATTCAATGATATTTATTTTTTTATCATATATTTTAATTTAAATCATTAATCTGCACAGGTTCTTGTAGACAGGACCATGCTTCCACAATGCAACACCCAATATCCTCTTAATTAAATGAAAAAAATCTTGTCATATTTTTGCTTAGTAAGTTCTTCTCTAATGCTCTGGAAAACAATGAATAACAAAATGGGCTGAGTAACATATCTGTTTCTGATACTGACCTACAAACATCCCTGAGTTTTTCTGGATTTCATGTCCCAGCAGCAAAAGTATCAAAATTTGTTCTAGTTCTGGGTTTGTATACAGCTTTGGCACAACAAAATTTGGATTTACTTGTATTTCATGGTCTATACACTGTAAAATAATGAATTTAATGATTACTGTAAATCACTTTTTATTCGCGAAAACTTTATTTTAATGTAATTATGCCAGACAGTATGCGCGCGAAAATTTCATTAAGATTACATAGAGCAATAACCATAAATTGTGAAAATTTTGTCTCGCTATTAAAGAGTCAATGACTATATTGCAAAAATTTAGTTATATACAGTATTATTATTGGGGGGGGGATAAAACTAAAATTTTTCATACAGCTTATGATTTACAATAAGTTTTTTTAAAGCAAATTAGAAGTGCTCCTACTAAAGTAATAAGACTTGCCTTAGAGAAATCCCCTCCAAGACTGGTCAGTAAGTTGTCAGAGTATCGAGCTGAATAAAACATGTGCTTTGACTCCAAATAGTGATCCACAGTTCTCTGCATATTTTCTGGAATAAAAACATTGACATAAAAATATAATAAATACTTCAAATCTACTTAAACACAGCTGAAACTGAGATGACTACGACATACATATAATTGTAGATAGAAAGGATCATTATATTGAATTCTTTTTATGTTGTAAATTTTGGAAACAAAGTCCTCAAATCCAATTTTAATTTTATTGATCAACAAATGCTGAGAATTTTTAGTTTACCCATAAGTCCTTTCAGAGTTAGCTGAATCATACAGGACTCAATCAGGCTAGCAGCATTGTGTACAGCATTCTCTTTCTCTAGCAGCAAAAGGAAGCATGGTGACATGGCCTCAGCATGCTTATTGGCCGCAGAGGGCACCTGCATGTCTGACACACCAGGACAAAATGTGCTCAGCAAAGAACTGTCAATACCTGTTTATAGAGAGTATAATATGTAAATGATGTTAAAAGAATAATACCAAACATGCTGGAAATTGTATAATCTGAACTTCAGAGAAGACATATTTCATCTTGACTTTTGTTATACTGTAAACCAACTATTATTTGCGTCATCTTTTTTTCACAATTCATCAGTTTGAAATCAATCCTAGAAGATTGATTTTCACGAATAAGAAAACATTTGCTACAAAACCAAAGCAAAATAAATGGTTCACGCGATTAATATTCGCGACTTAAAGAAGGGCGCAAAACTCGCGAAAATATTTCTCGCACACAATTAAAGTTTTACAGTACCGGTATTTACTATCTGGCCTTACCCAGACTGGCCACCTTTTTGGAGGTAAGCCTCTGCCTCTTGACCCCCCTGATCCTGAATCCCTTCCTCTGACAGGACGCCATGATGACCCCAATAAACTGAGGCCTGACCACAGGGGAGATGACCAGGATGATTTCACTCTTAGTAGTGGCCGTTAGACCCGCTGGTGGGCGGTGCTGAGTGTGGCTGTCACTCAAACTGTGGTGGGAGGAGCTCTTCTTTGATTGGCCAATAGATGGATGTGTTCTTTCCTCAGATAAATCAGAACTTGAGGAACCTTTCTTTGCCTTCTGACCTTTTGGACTTCCAGATCTAAAAAATCAGTAAACCATTGAATGCAAATACCTTTAATAAAAAGATAATAAAATTCAATTTGTATCAGGTAGATTCCTTTAAAGTAACAAAAAACATAATTTTTATGCATTGATTCTCAAAAAATTCAATCATACCAAATATGTTGAAAGAAAGAAGCTTGCAGTTGATCATTTAAAGGGGAAAAAAATGGCAATCTAGATTTATTTGAATACATAACAAACCTAAGATGATCTTTCCTTGTATAAGGTGTTCCCACATCAATAACACCACCTGGTGGTACCCTTCCTGCAAACCACCTTGTGAGCTCTGAGTGGATTCGTGCTGGATTTCTGGGGGTAAATAACAAACATTCATCTCTTGATGCACCCCCAAACAAAGCACACAGGGAGTTAGGATCAGTCTTACGGGCTAGTGCTGGGTCTGTAGGACCCACAGCATCCAGCCAGATAGCACGAGCAAAGGTACCCCGCAGTCCTAAGGCCAATACTGGCCCTACTTTGTTCAAGAACTCAATGTTTGACTGAACACGATCGGTCTGATTTGGCACACTTGGCTTATCCAGAAGTTCTTGCACTGGGAACAGAAGCCTGATCCCTGATAAATCCAGCCCTTCCTGCATAATCTTGTTGAAGATGCCTGACATAGCAGGAGGTTCCTGGAAAATCTTCTTGTAAACAAGAGACATTGTGACTTGAGTGTCATAATTCACATCACTGTCATTAAGTCCATGATCAAATGAAGATTCCTCGTTGTCCACTGTCTGCCAGAAGAAGCCCACAGGGGTGTTGAACACCTTTTGAGCAGCCTTGGGGTCGGGATTCATCTGTATAAATGTAGACAGAGGTTTGGTTGTGATTATAGGTAGAGGGGCCCTGTATACGTATGTGGAGGTGTCCTCTGGGTTTTGGGAGGGGCAGCTAATGTCTATAGGGACCACGGCCTGTAACCAGGGACACACTGTGTGGAGAGTATTGGTAGAGAGGAATTTGGTGAGGAACTGTTGGAATGGAGAATTATTCTTCACTTCATCCTTCAGCTACAAAAGACATCAAAACAAAAAATTATTAAAGTAATTTTTTCATCTTTTACTACAACCATGTTTTATTCCATTTTATGTCAAACATGCATGTGTACATGTACCTTCCAATTAAATACTCCACTACATGTACATTTAAAAATTATTGACTTGAATAGAACACATCTAAACAGAAACTATTTCTGGATATCTCTTGCCCTGGCAATATGAGTCAATAAGATACCTTGGTTTTGGATTTTTTCTGTTTATTGGGTATAATTTTAGAGTCACACTGTGGATGGGGTGTAACAGCAACCACAAGGCATAGATCTTCATCCATCCATAGCTGCTGCATCCCGAGCACATAGAAAGGGGGATAAAAGGGCACCTGTTCCAGCTCCTCTGGCTTCTTAATGAGGAAGTCATAGTTCTCAGGGACCATGGACAATAACCAGGTCAACAGCACAGTATAGGAGGCAGAGAGGCCCAGCCCTAAAGCAAGAGATTTATGCATTAAGGAAGGTTGCATGAAGTTAGCATTTTAGTGAGACCAGCAAATGAACCTTTGACATATAAAACATTTTAAAGTTGTTTCTTACTGACCTGTGTCAACACTCTTGGATTTTCCTCTGTGTAGAATAATTTCTCCATTACTAGACAGATGTACTGTCAGCAGTCGAACTTCTTTGTCAGAGGGTAGGAATGGGGGGAGTGAAGAAGGGGATGGCTCATAGGACACCTCCTACATTTTAAAAAGCATAATGTAAAATACTTATGACAACTTCTTCTATTAAAACTTATACTTTCGATCATTATCTTGTTGAAATTAAAACGATATACAAAATTCTAAACCACAACAAATTGCCAATTCCCAAAATTCAAAACCAGTCCTTCAACTACTCACAATGTCAAACAATACTGGGGTTGTCTCAGCACAGTCCTGTTTACCACTGACAGAAGCAGTTGGTTTCAGAACTTCAAGTCTCTTAGCTAACCGTAAACGACTTTGTCTTTCTGCTTCTCTCTCTTCCCTTTGTTTCCTACAGAGCAATGAAAAATATATTTGTCATTTAAATTACATTAAAATTGATGACTCTTAGATCAATTTTAATCAGTAAAGTTGATTTGGATATTTTAAAAATATTTATTGGACACTAAATCAAAATCCACATATTCCATCTGCCTTTACCTGGCTTCCTCAATCTCTCTCTGCTTCTCTCTCCTCTTCCCTGATCTTCCTCGCTTTCTCTATACCCTCTCTGATTACATACTGGTTTCCTCAATTTTCCTCTGCCTCTCTCTCTCCTCTTCTCTGATCTTCCTCTGCCTCTCTCTCTCCTCCTCTCTGATCATCCTCTCTTTCTCTACACCTTTTTAGATAACCTACCTGACTTCCTCAATCTTCCACTATCTCTCTCCTCTTCCCTGATCTTCCTTGCTTTCTCTATACCCTTTCTGATTACATACCTGGCTTCCTCAATCTTTCTCTACACCCCCCCCCCCTCTCCCCTCTCTCCTCTCTGATATTACTCCCTTTTTTTATTCACTTTCTGATAACCTACCTGGCTTCCTCAATCTTCCTCTGCCTCTCTCTCTCTTCCTCTCTGATCTTCCTTTCCTTCTCTATAGCAGCTTTCTGTTCTTCTGTCAGCTCATCCTCCGGCTCTTCTGGTTTAACTTTGGCAGCGAGTCGGTTGTCCAGTTCTGCTAGATTAATTACTCTGTTTGGATGCTTAATTGGTTCTGATCTGTAAATCATGATTAACAAGTCCCTTCTGAGAAAATAATCTCAATCAATGGCCCAAATCTGATTACACAATAGCAGTTTTATCAAGATAAATTTCTTTTACATAGACATAAATGAAGTTCAATTACCTTTCCAGTTTGGGTTTATTTGGTAGAATATCTGTACTGGCTCCTCTGGAGGTCAGAGTCTGTTTCATCCTCTTCCTCTGTTCAAACCAGGCCTGCATATCATCCTCTGACTCACTGTCACTGCTACTCTCACTGCTAAAATAGAAAATCCAAAATTAATATTTGATCAGAATCTAATGCTGACATCCTTTCAAGTGTGGTAAGGAAGAAGGAATGAATAAAAAAAATGCCAAGTATACAGGACCCATGTACCACCCTCTGCAACAGTCAGATGCTCTACCACAGACCTATGCAAGTCAATATCAGCATTTTATAGCCTGAACTTCTTTACAAGATGTATATAATGAAAATGTTCCAATTTTACCTAATCTTCAATAATTATTGTACATATTTAAAAATCTTGAATTATGGCAGTCATTAACAGGAAAATTCTAAATATTTGATTTTGGCATCCTACCTTTCTTGACTGATGTGAAGTACTTGCTGGACTCTCTCTATACTCTGTTGTTGCTCTTTGACCTTTTGGTCATGGTTTCTAAGGTCGATGAATACAGTCTCTCTTTCACGTTTAGGTTCTAAAGTGCAACATGTCCTCATATAAAGCATTGATACTCTTAATATCATCAAAGCCTTTGTTACAAGAATCTTTTTTTTAAGACTTACAATATACCTGTGATCTACCCCATCAACTCATTACCTGGATTTTTTTCTGCCTCCAGTTTGTTCTTTGGTGTGGGTGTTATAATCCTCAATGGACCATCATTGTTACTGGTGTTGGTACCACAGCTAGCAGAGGTGGTTTTCTTTACTAAAATTCAAATTGCACAGATGAAAATGATGAATTTTTCTTTTTTTTCCACATGTAAAATTGCAAGATTTATTCAAAGATATTTGATATGCTTGCAAATTCATTTCAATCACAAGCTTTTTGCTTATTCAAATCATTAAATGTATAAGATACTTGTGTAGCAGGATAATTTACCATGCTGCTCCTGTGGAGGTGGTTTCCTCCTGGTAAACAGAGGACTGCTGGACCCGTTATCTGTATCAATGACGTCAGCGTCCTTGTCCCGGGTCGCCCTGGCTCCAGTCATCGGGTCGATATCAGTTAGATCCTCCCCTGACTGTTTCATAGAGTACTCAGCTAATCTCTGGATCAGAGTCTGGGACCGAACATTCTCTTCTTCTAATTATAATTGTACACATGTCAATGGTTAACTTATGCTAAATATCTTATATCTTATTTATTTCAATAACACATTTTGTTTGAAACACATCATATTACAATAGAGTCAAAATACTCTGAAAACCAACTTATCTGGATGCATCTTCCAGACAGATCCAAAATCTGAAAACTTTATTAATCTGGAAAGCTTGCTTTATAGCTCAAGCTTATAGCAAAACTTAGGCTCAACTGTATATGAAGACAAATTTTCAATCAAGTTCTCCATTGTTGCACTTAATTTTAATCTTTAGATATACAAGATAGCTGGTGTATGTTGAGCTTATGGATCAATAAAATACCTTTGTGTTCATTAAGAAATCTGTTGGATCCTTCCCCAGCCCCTATCAGTGACTGGATCCTCTGCTGTCTTGCCCAGGCTTCTCTAACTACAGGAGGGACAGATGAATTCAGCTGGTGTGCCTCATCCAGAGTACACAAAATCAGATCTAAAACATAATGGATCAAAATGATAAAACCTTTTGATTTAAATTTAAGCAAACAAGTTTGTCTATTTCGAATGTTCATGAATTGTCTATTTCTTGAACAAATAAATGCCATTAAATAATGAATTCAAGAATATGTTTATTACTTTATGCATATTACTGCAGCAGTTTTTACCTATATTAAGATTATTTGAGAGGAGTTTGGGAGGAGAGGGAGGGACTATGTTGGATACCAATTCTTTTTCATTCCTTCTCATTTCCTCTGTGGTGACCATTCTGTTCATATGCTTATCCCCTGAGTTATACACCCCCACCCCAGACGATGAAGAGCCGACTTTGGCATCTGTTTCACTAGTTGACTCTTTTTCATGTTTTTCCAGTTCTTCGTCTACACTCTCAGTTTCCACTCTCTCCTCGGTAAGAAGCTCCTGCTCCATGGCACTAAATGCCCCAGCCAATGGAGCCAGGTCCTCCCCAGTCTGACATTCACTGGTAACCTGGGTGGAACTGTTACTGACAGGTTTTCTCTCTTTGAATTTGTCCTTCTCATCATGAGCCTCAATAACCGTCTTTGTCCAGTTTGTGGATTTTCCTCCCTGGTATTTTGGTCTTTGTTGCTGTCCACTAGCAGTGTCTGTGTCATTTTCACATGTCTCCAAAACCTCAGTTTCTACATCTAGTCTAATATTTGTGAGGGACAGAGATTCGACATTTGGTCGCAAAAGTTCAGAGAAGGAATCCCCAGTCTGACTTGTGTCAAGGTCTTTGTCATCATCAAACAATGAAGTGTTGAACAAAGATCTGTGGAATATTTCTTGATCCTCATTGTCAGAGCTTACCTATACATAAAAAGAAAAATTACAAAAATTGAATATGAATTTGATTTGTGAATATGACAAAAGACAAACAATAAGGAAATAAACTTCTGATCATTTTAATTGCCTCTCCAAGTCTTTACATTTGTTGAATAGGACTAAAATAATCATATTAATTTAAGTTAATATGTACGTAGATTAAAGACTTTATCTGAAATGAAACTTGTAAGATCAAAAGATTTTGATTTTTTTTTAAATGGCATTTTAGTGCAGGTATATATATTTATTTCCAAATGTAAATCTATCTGGCCTGCCATTATAATTCATCCTGTACAACAGAACAATTGACTTTGAAAAATGTCTGATAGTGAGTAAATAAATTCAACACTCTGAATACCTTGACATACTAGTAATATTGTAAAAGTACATCATTTATGATTATAAACATGATAAACCCATATTAATAATTTAAACAGAGCAATATTAAAATAGGTTCACTCAAAACATTCCGTCAAAAAGAGGGGATTCTTACATCTGACAGGTCAAAGTCAATGGATGGAAGATTTTTCTCCACTTCAGCAAATATGGAATCTAACTTTGGTTTTAAGTGAGACTGTTCTGGAACAGGAAAATCTGGAAGGTTGCTGACTCCACCTGCTGCTGACAAAAACAGCTCACTATCACTGTTGTCATCACTCGAGTCCATTTTCATATCCTCAAAAAAAATATTCAATAAACTTTTTAAAAATTCTGAATATTACACATTGACATCTCCACAACCATTTGACAACACTCAAACATGCATATTATATATATATAACGCTTCAGATCAGGTAATGCAAAAAAAAGCTATTTACTGCACAATATTTTTTGCGCACTTTTGGGGAGAATCTCTTCACTTTCCAGCATTGGTCAATCAACTATCTTTTACCCCCTAGACACATTCTATGGCCAATGTGTATATTTCATCCACCTCCCAACCATTTATATTTGTCTCTACAGGCAATAAACTTGCCTGAGGTGAATTTTCAGCAATCTAACAAATAAAATTTAATCAAGCGAGTTTATCACTTGTAGAGACGATCATAAAGGGCATGGAGATATATAAAATATACAGATTATTTAAATAATGTGCCTAGAATAAAAAAGTGAAAGGTAGTTAATTGACCGATGCTGGAAAGTGTATGAAATCTCCCCAAAAGTGAGCAAAAAATATTGTGCTGTAAATTGCACCTTTTTTGCATTACGGGATCTGTAGCGTTATGGTCAAAGACAAATATGTAAAACCATAATATTACAGATCTGCAGCTATATTCAAAGACAAATATATATAAAAAAAAAATAACACTACAGATCTGCAGCTAATACTCCTTTTGACTTTGAGGAACAGAACAAAGCATCTGTAGAAATTACGCCTAGGACCTAATTTAAGGTATTTTTTCTACTTCTCAGAAATTCATTTTTCTCCCTTTTAAAATATGTGAAAGAAAAGTGTATGTGCATTTATTTTTTGTACATGGTTATTTAGGCTAATTTTCACGATATGTTCCTACACGAATGAACCTGTTGACCTGCATTTGCAGCATTGGTGTGAAGCCAAAATTCTCCTATAGGCCTTATGTGTCCTTTAATGTCAACAAAACAAAATATGAATATTTTTAAGCCAGCTATAGGACACACATTTTTTTGTAAAATGACAGGTATCAATATGACAAAGCGGTACCATGGTAATTATGTAAACTGTCCTAGAGAGTGACTTTTCTATACAATAAGAAATAAATGTGCTTCTACAAACACTTGAAAGAGTTTATCAAGCGAATTTAGAAATATTATCCTACCAAACTCAGTGAAATAAAGTCTTCACAAACACATATTCCATATCAAAACATTGCGACCGATTCAGCATTGGTGGAATTTCGAATCATCGTGTCTGCGAGCAAATCCCCGGATGATCAACAATCTTTCAGAAGATCAAATCCGATCGTATTTATTTTAGAAATTTATTTTATATATATCTCAGTCTTAGCAAACTTTGACAATAATCCGGTTACCATAAAAAGATAATTGATATAATATGTTGTACTTTTTATTTCAAATTCAGAATAATCACCATACTTTTTATAATAAATTAATTAATTCATCGGGATCGGTATACACTATTTATAACTTTGGAAGGAGCAAAGAGAAAAAAGTATATTGATTTATTTTCTCATTCTCTGACCTTTTCTGCCATCCCGAATATTATCTGTAAGTAGTTTATAACTTTATTAAAATCTTAAGTAATAGAACGACTTAGTAATATCTCATGGTTATCGACGGTTGCATGTAGAAAAATCTATGTAAAATAAACAGCTGATCAAATCCAAAAATAGACTGGACTAACAAACAAGGATTAAGTTTATCACACATATTCACCAAAAACTGACATTAACAATACTTAGACTAAGTTAGAAAATGACTCTTTGCACATTTTAAAATGTTCTGCAGTACATATATATATTTTTAATGCTTTAAAGAAGAAAATATAGTGGTTGAATGTAGTTTTTCAACATTTCACAAAATTATTGACATGAACAGTTAAATAGGATAGATTTCTAGAATAGCTAGGATAATTTAAATTTCCATCTTTGATAAAATATATATATATAATAGTAGTATCGTACTGGTGCATACATTCCGTATATTGCCACCAAGAAAACTTTCTGTAACAATTAAGATTTTTTTTTTATCATATAACTACAGTATTTCCCTTGCAAACTGTACTACAGTGCATAGTAATTCTAAGTATATATGTTTTAGAAGTGCAGTTGGATGGATTTTTCAACATGATAGACCATGGCCCAGGAGGCAGATAACCAGTATGAGGCGTCAGATGAGTCCTCTGAGAACGAACTTCTGGACCGAAGTCTCTCTGTGTGGAAGGGATGGAACTGGAATGTCAAAGATGTGTTTGACCCAATACCATTAGACCTTCACACGGCATCCAGTATCGGGCAGTATGATGTTGTTAGGTCATACATTTCCAGGTGATTATTTGAATCTATAGATTTTCATTTACTTTTACATTTCATTGATGATGAAAGAAAATTTTATATCTCTGAAGAAAGAGGAGTCTAAATTAGTGTGTGAAGTATTCTCTTTTTCTCAGTTTGTATAGCAAAGAAATGTACAGGTAATTATATATTGTAAAAAAAAAAATAAAAATATTTAGTCATTTTCTTAATTTTTTGCAGGAAAGTTGACTTGAACAAGAAAAATGTTGGAGGATGGACACCCCTTATGTATGCCTGTTATATTGGCCATGACAACATTGTAAATCTATTGTTAGATGCTGGTGTAAGCGTGAATGTCAAGAACCATAAAGGGCAGACCCCACTGATGCTGGCATCCAGCTGTGGAAATGAGAGTGTGGGCTATTTTCTAGTGCAGGTTTGTGATATTATGTTCTATCAATAACATATTCTGATCTCCATTATATTGAAAGAAGACAGAAAAGGATATGATGTTAAACCATCAATGCGTAAATTTAAAAAAAGAATTTATAAACCATTACTTATTGGAACAAAATGAAAATTAATTTTCAGTCTGTACAATCTTAAAATTAAGCCATGCCATAGATTTGGAATGCCATTTCTGTTATTTATGTATGTGAAAAATTGCTTTTTACTGTCAAAATATTACTTTAATGTAGCAAGGTGCTGAGCTAGAAGCTCGAGATCATAAAGGCTGGAATGCTTTGTTTCATGCAACCTATGCTGGACACCAGAACATGGTGAAATTTCTCCTGGAGCAGGGAGCCAATATCAATGCTGTGTGAGTTAACTAGCCTAATTACAAAAATAAAAGTAGAATGTCATTCTCATCTAATATCTCAGATATTTCATATACATAATTGTATTTATTCAGGGAACCAAGTCATGGATTAACTCCCTTTATGGAGGCAGCAGCTGAGGGACATGAAATTATTGTTCAACTTCTTCTGCATCACGTAAGTATAACTGTAATAGGTTTTATTCGTAATAAATTGGTGCCAAAAAAGTGTCTCTGTATGACATAAAAGAAAAATTATTATTATTGAGTAGTTTGTCTGAAAAAAGTGTCATTGATACTCAGTCTATCACATATGAGAAATATAGATTTTAATTTAAAAAAAAAACATTTAATCAGATAAAGAATGTGCCTTGTCTGAATTTCATATTTTTTTAATGAAAAGATTCAAACTTATTGTGTTATTGTGTTTTCATCACTATTTTAGGGAGTAAATGTGTTTACAAAGGCCCACAATGGGGACACAGCTAGATCACTGGCCCTCATACACAGCAATATGAAGATTGTCAGTCTCATTGATAACCATGTCATGCCTAATACATGTCTGAGATCAGAAGCAGGTAAGCTATAAACAATACACAGGTTCAGAAGCCGACAAGCCACACAGTACATATAAGGCTGATCCAAGTAGGGAAATTGCTGATTATGAATGTAATACATGGTATTCTCTTTGATCAGAATTTAAATATACCTGCACTCCTTTTGATGTATAACCATGACAAATTCCTTATTGTTCATTAATGCAGCAGCATGTGCTACATAAGTCATTTGATTTGAAATCATTGCAATACTTGATTGTACTTCTGACTCTGCATACATTTAACATGAAAATGAGTGATAATGTTTTAAAAATGACACAGATTGCCTTGTCTTGGATAGGATGTTTTATGTGATATAGATAGTCAACGAGTTTATTTCTTTAAAGGTTTAGATGCTGGGGAACTAAGTTCATCTGACGAAGCTTATTCCAAACCCAAGCAAGGTCACAGGGGTCAAAAGGGTAAAGGTCGTGGACTAAGTATACGAGATGGACCTGATGCGATAGCTAGACTTATCAACAGATCTCCAACTAATGAGAACTATAAAAAGCAAACAAGTAAGTTTAAAAGGATTTTATCAAATGTTTCCACTATATTTTGGTAATATTTTGTATCTGCATTATGTCATCCTCATTTAGTAAAGCAAAGAGCAAAAAATAACATAGCAATATGAATTTTGTTAACTCCTATACATACTGATTTTTTTTTTTTAATCTTTACGGGCAAAATGTTTTTCAGCCTGCATTGTACCAACAGTTGGATCTGTAGGATTTATTCACATTGATATGCTATTCATGTATTTTTCATTTTTCAAAAAATTGCCCTTGTTTACCATAAGTTTCAAAACATATCCTAGTAAAATGAAAGTGTATATTAAAAAGAATATATATCATCCTCAATATTGTCAAGACATCAGTAGTAGCAATCGTAACATAGATTCTATAAGTTTTTCCCCTTATGCCAACAGGTTTTTCCGTAGTGTTAAAATATAGACTAAATTTTACTTCTTGCAATTTTCCAGAAGGCCCAAAAGTCCCAAAGGGGTATGTGACTTTTCCCAAGGGGGATGTGGGAGAAGATGGGAAATCCAAGCTTAGTTACAGAGATGTGACCTCCCCAATCAATTTACAGGACTATAATGCTCTGGACAGTTCTGGAGGAAGAAACACAGGTAGTAAATTATTAAAAAAAAAATTTCTATATATTGGATAGGACTCTCAAAACAACGAATATAAATGCCCACGAAACTGTTTTTGATGACAAATCAACGAAAGTTTATCCCCACGAAAATTTGTGCTTCTACAGTATTCTAATTTCTTAATTTTTTGTTGTATGACGTTTGCACATCAAAAAACAAAAAACTTTTATTTTACGTAGACTCCAATGATAATGAGCCAGGGGAGGATGGGAATGCCTTCTCTAAAACTGGTGCCCTGACCATCAAGAGTAGTTCTGGTTCCAGTGGGGGCCTAATGGCTGCCTTTGGTCTCAGTCACAGCAGTAACGAGAGTGATGGGTATCAACCCCAGGACAGTGTCAGTTCCTCACCAGATGGCAGCACTGGAGGCCGAGACTTGTCCGAGAATGAGGGAGCTCTGTCCCCCGCCTCTAGTTACAATAAAGCCATGGCACAGCTCAGCATAAAGAACCAGTCAGGAGTATCCTCAGAATCAGAGTTAGAGAATATCACAACAAATGAAAAAAACAGTAAAAGCAATACAAAGCAGCAGGTCTCCCCGAATAACCCACAGCCCAAATCTAGTGCAATGAGCCCAACTTCACAGCTCAAAGACCGAGAGAAACAGTCCAATAAAAGTCGATCCAACTCGCCCAGCGTGAAGTTCAATACTCAGGATGTGATCATGCAACAGTCTGTTCCTGTCCATACCCCTCCCCCACAGCACCAGATAGATCAGCACCGCCCCCCACCAAAGCAGCCCTCCCTCCCAGTCACACAAGTCCTATCCTACCCAACCACGCAAATCCCCCAGCATTTCCAGGGTGCCAAGCCTAAAGTGCCAATGCCCAGCTTTAACAATCTTGCCGCAAACTTTATGTCTCAGCTTGGTTGTCATATATTCCCATCTCCTCCTGTGATTCCTGATCCACAGTTCTTTGTTCCTAAAAAGGTATTAAGTATTTGTATTAAGCTCAAATTGCTCTTGAATATTAAACATTCACAGGATAATTTTTATTCTCATTACAACCATTAAAGATTGATTGAAGGTCTAGATTGGGCCAACAATATACATTTAAATGCTTTGAGAAATCTTAGCATTGTTTTTCCAAGGAAGAAAACATTGTGTGTATGTCTGTCTGTTTCTGTTTTTAGCCAGATCTGGAGGAGCACCCTAGAGATCTACCCTCCCTGCTACATCAGCTGGGTTTGTCTAAATACCTGAAAGTATTTGAGGAACAAGATGTTGATCTACAGGTGTTCCTTTCTTTGACAGATAATGATCTTAAAGAAATCGGAATAAAGTAAGTTTGAACTACTGTAAACCAACTTTTATTTGTGTGTGAGAAATTTTTGCGAGGTTCGCGTGAGCTCCGTCCTCGCAAATATTTCTCGCCGCATACCGGTCCTTACAGTCTCTATCAGTATATGCCTGTTAACAATAGATCCAGAACAGGCTCGATCTCGAAAAATATTCCAGTGGAGAATCTTCCTGGAAGAATATTTGTTTTTATTTGGTTATCTTTGTAGATACAATAGAAATTATATAAATGTTTTAAAATTTAGAGGAAAATGAAATAATTGGGAGGGGGCATCTGACAAGTACATATATTCTAATACGATCAGTAACAATTTCTGAAAAAATGTTTGTTTTATTGTCTCCTATCTCTTGATGGATATTTATGGGAAGAAAAAATGTTACAGATTATTTGGTCCCAGAAAGAAAATGACCAATGCTATAGCTCGCTGGCAGAGCAAGGCACCCATGCCAACCAATGACAAACTGGAGCAGGCTTATGCTGATCGACTCGAAGGGGAGATGCAGGAAATGGCTCTTCAGCTTATAAAGGTACAAAAAACGTGTTTAACAACAAGCAAGATCATTTTTAAAATCTTATGAACGCTTTTCACACTACTGAATAATTGTGTATTTATTTATTTTATGACTTTCTTTTAGTATGAAAGTACATGTAAATCAGTTTTTTTTGTAATTTGTTATTCTATTAGGCAACAGAGCAGGTGGATTCCATGAGAGCTGAAGTCAAACAAGAACAACAACTCCGTCTTGTGACAGAAAGCTGTTTGAATGATGAACGTGCTATACGTCACCATATGACTGGGGTCATGAGAGAAATGAGGATGAAATGTGATGAAATGAAAGAATCCCTACGCAACCTTACGTATGTTCTGTTACTGAGTGTTGATAGATTTATTGATTACTTTGCAGACATAATTCTTTTTTTTTAAATTGGATATTACAAGAAGTACATAAAAGCGGGAAAATTTTTTTTACAAGTACAAGTTTTTAGTGTTTTACATTTTTATTTGTTTTAGGTACAATAATTAAAGTTTTGAATATCTTGTTAAAATAACACAAGCTTTAACAAGGTCCTTTTCCTGTTTAACGTGTGTGTTGTACTCAGAGCCACTTCCATGCAGTGTGTTATGGTCCTTCATCTTATGTTCCTTTAATGTGTGACCTTTTTGTTTTAATGACAGATTATTAAAGTCTGTTTCCTGTTTCTATTTCAGTCATAATCATTCAGAAATTCGTTTGAAGCTGCAGAATTCTGGAGATTCCAATGCATTAAAAGACATGTCTGATAACAATCGCAGTATAACATTGACCAATGACAGGCTGTGTAACTTAGAGGGCGTGATGAAGAAGACGGAACAGCAGATTAAGGATCTCCAGAAATATCTGTCTGTCGTCATGATAAACATCAACAGAATCGTCAGAAGAACTCACAATGAAAACGGATTCTCCTGAGTGTATTACAATGAATGAAATTGTTGTTTATTGTTAGTGATAAAAAAAAGTATTTTGAGCATATTCATGACATATTTTTCTGATGTAGAATCTCAATTGTATGTGCTGTAAATTACAGAATTAAGCATTTATAAAAGCTGTATTGCATATCATATTTTTAAAATATGTGTCAATGTTTTCTTTGCCTGAACAACGTTATACCTTTTAGGCTTTACTGCCTCTTAATTTATGTGAAAAGGGAAATAACTCAAATTTTATTCTCATTAATTAACTCTGTGATGACCAAAGTAAAATTTGGATTAAACTTATAATTATGTAATATACGATTTATATACAAACCTGTATGTCTGTTGTGTTCTGATATGTGTCTTTTACATTCTTTGTAGAATTTCAAAAAGAATGGTTTTTATTTTAATTTTTACAAATAATAAAAATTAGCTGAAACCTACATCAAGGCATTAGACTTTGTTTCTAAAAAAAGTATTCATTTTTTAAGATTAGATATTGATTCTAAAAGGTAAAAATATCAATTAATCAGTTTTTCTTTGATTACTCCTTTATAATCTTTTGATTTACTGTTACATATCTGCATTTTTGCAAAACTGTGTGATGAAAAATGACGACAATCACTTTATACAGTGAGCTATGAGTTTTGGAAGGTTTTGTATTGAGCATATTTAGTTATGATACTTTTAAACTGCCAAAAATGTATTGAGCTTTACATAAACTCAAGATCTGAACTTGTACTTTTGAATAAGTATATATATTTTAAAATAGTGTAATGTCTCTATAGTAAATGTACATGTGATAAGTACATTTATGATATATACAATGTGTATCCAAAGATTTCATAAATTTTCTTTGTACAGCAAGACATGCTTATAGCAAACAAAATTTTAATGGATTGACACTTACAGGATATTGATTTTTTTTACCCCGTGACTTTAAAATATGTTGTAAACTTAACCTTGCTTTAGATGTGTGTAGATTTCTGTTTATGATGAAGCTCTTGACTTGTGATCTGTTACAAATATTTTACATGTATTTTTTTTGTATCGAACATGTATTTTTTTTTAGCATTATAAGTGTATGTTTAACGCTTAATTATAGTCAGGTTGAACACCGTTTTGTGTTACTTGTATGTTTATATGCCATTTTCAGTTGTTTAGTCCCAGAATTTTTGGTTGTGATATATAATTAGACTTTATTAGGTCACCTGAGTAAACTCAGGTGACCTATTGCTATCCGTTTTCGTCCGTTGTCGTGCGTCGTGCGTTGTGCGTCGTGCGTTGTGCGTTAACATTTGAACATTTTCAGCTTCTTCTCTGCAACCAGTGAACCAATTTCAACCAAATTTGGCACAAAGCATCTATGGGTGAAGGGGAACAAAAATTGTGAATTTCATGATCCCTGCCCCCCAGGGGCCTGAGGGGTGGGGCCAAAACCACTAAAATTAATGCAATCTTTAAAAATCTTCTTCTTTACTCCTGGGCATCAAGCAGTCAAACTGTTTGCATGAATGTAATCAGCAATGAGTCCTCTACCAAAATTGTGAAATTCATGGCCCTTCAGGGGTTCTAGTGCTAGGGCGGGGCTAAATAAGTAGGTAGTGAAAATGCATTATTTCTTTGAAAATCTTCTTCTTGCTTGGGTATTAAATAAACTAACTAAGTACATAGTTATATATGCCTCTACCAAAATTGTGAATTTTATTCAGGGGTTGTGGTGTTAGGGTGGGGCTCTATTGATTATATAGTGAAAATACATGAATTCTTTGAAAATCTTCTTCTCTGCTCCTGGGTATTAAATAAACTAACTAAGTGCCTAGTTATGGTGAGCAAGAGTGCCTCTACCAAAATTGTGAATTTTATGGCCCCAGGGTCAGGGGTTGTGGTGTTAGGGTGGGGCTCTATTGATTATATAGTGAAAATACATGAATTCTTTGAAAATCTTCTTCTCTGCTCCTGGGTATTAAATAAAATAACTAATTGCCTAGTTATGGTGAGCAAGAGTGCCTCTACCAAAATTGTGAATTTTATGGCCCCAGGATTAGGGGTTCTGGTATTAGGGGGGGGGGGGGCTCTATTGATTATATAGTGAAAATACATGAATTCTTTGAAAATCTTCTCTGCTCCTGGGTATTAAATAAACTAAGTGCATAGTTATGATGAGCAAGAGTGCCTCTACCAAAATTGTGAATTTTATGGCCCCAGGGTCAGGGGTTCTAGTTGAGAATAGTTAAAATACATGAATTCTTTCAAAATCTTCCTCTGTGCTCCTGGGTAGTAAATAAACTAACTAAGTGCATAGTTATGATGAACAAGAGTGCCTCAACCAAAATTGTGAATTTTATGGCCCCAGGGTCAGGGGTTCTGGTGTTAGGGCAGGGCTCTATTGATTATATAGTGAAAATACAGGAATTCTTTGAAAATCTTCTTCATTGCTCCTGGGTATTAAATAAACTAACTAAGTGCATAATTATGATGAGCAAGAGTGCCTCTACCAAAATTATGAATTTTATGGCCCCAGGGTCAGGGGTTTTGGTGTTAGTGCGGGGCTTTATAGATTATATAGTGAAAATTCATTAAATCTTTAAAAATTTTCTTCTCTGCTCTAGGGTATTAAGCAGATGAACTACCTATATAGTTATTATCTACAAGGGCCCTAATCTTCCAGAATTGTGAATTTCAAGGCCCCAGGGTCAGGGGTAATATTGTACTTATATACTGAAAATGAATGAATGGTTTGAAATCTGCTTCTTGGTATTAATCAAATATCGAGGCCTAAGGGTCAGGGGTTCATGTGTAGTAGGGGCACTACTGATTATTGCTGAATATAACTGATTAGTTGAAATGCATTTTTTGTTCCCCTACCTTGTGTATGGGTATTGAGTAAACAAACTAAGCAACTGCTAAGTGTATTGTTATGATGAATTAAATTTAATCACTGGAAAGTTGTTGCATAATGCTCAGGTGACCTATAAGGCCCATGGGCCTCTTGTTTGTTATGAATATCAAATTTTTTCTCTATATTCATCAATCCCATGAGAAGGGAAATTACTCTCGCCGAAACTAGTAAATGTAAATAAAATTCAAAAGAGATTTTTTTTTTGAAAATCATTATCTTCAAAGCATTATATGAGGAATATAAGTAACATGAACTCTCATGGTAGTTTAAAGGATGGCATGATAAAAAAAATCTTTTCAACAATCTAATTTTAGAAGATTTGATCATAGCATTTACATTTACCATTATCCATAGCATTGATAAGAAATCCAATTTTTTACCTTTTTCTAGAATCTGAATATAGCTATAAATGTACAATGTAGAATTCCAAGTTCGTTTATATCTTGCCTTATTAGAATACATTTAGATAACCTCAATAATTACACATCAAATGTGTTCTTGCAGTATTTGGATCATTTTAACATTAAAGGATAAATTTTAAATGTTCTTATTATTAGCACATATAGCAATTAACATTAAGTCTAATCCACAGTACTGATGTGTCTTTTGCAAATGTGTAAAATCATATGCAGTATCTATGAAAATTGTTAATCAGTGCTCCCCATCTGCAAAAGAAATGGCTTTTTTGTTTTTTTGTTCACAAAAGAAATGAAAAGTTCTAGACATGTACATGCCTGTACATGTATAAATAATGGAAATGTCTGTTATAAGAATTTTCTCAAAATGCAATTTGAATTCAGTAACAGCAGCAGAAAGCTCTCTAACATATTTTTTAATCTATGTAAAATATTCTTTTATTCTAGTTGAGTACTGTCTCCATAGATCATTTAGTTCTTCTGTAAACATTATCTTTCTATAATGCATTTGTACATGACTGTATTCAAATGCTTACTTTAAGACTATATATTGTAAATAAAAAGATCAACAAAGCAGGTTGTGTAAGAGCCATGCTTGCATAAGAAAAAGAAATGACTGAAACACAAGTGTATTGAATTTAAGATTGTATAATTGGATATCATAAATGATAAAGTAGTTATTATTTTATGTAGTGTCAAATGGTGAGCTATGGTACATAATGGTAGTATATTGCAGACATTTCAAATGAAATGTTGAAAGTGGGGGGGTTTTAGAAAATTTTTTTTTACTTACCTTAAACTCTTCATAAAAATACCCATCTTTAAGGAATGAAAAAAAAATTAAAAAATGAAAATTTTTATCTAATATCATAATATTTTTTGTCATTTATTTGTAATCTTTAATGAATATAATTTAGAATATATTGTAAAATACAGGACAGCACTGCATATCTGAGATGTATAGATATGTATAATTGGAGATGTACAGTATATAGATCTGTATTGTGAAGCCATTTTTTAAAACTATGCACTTCGAAATCCTATGAATACGATGTTCATGAAATGTCATAGGGCAAATTTTGTAATACATGTACCTTGTATAAACTTGAGCACTTTTTAAAAGCTTTAATAAACCTTTCTACTTTCGCAAAATTGACAGGTCCCAGTTAACTACAAATGCAGATGTGACACACACAATAACAAAAGGACAAACAAGGGGAAGTATACAAACACCACTATAAAGCTTTTCTGTTTTATCCATAAGGAAATAATTTGAATTGTTTGTGCAGTACAACTGTTATTGTCTAGATAATCTCTTGTTGACTGTTTTGCATTTATACATTACAAATTTACTTATCAGTTGTGTTTTATCTGGGAAAGGCTGACAGACAGGTTTTTATATTGATTTATTGCATAATAATGTGAACTATATATTTACTTACAAATATACATGAAGTGTTAATGAAAGGTTCTTTTATATGTTTGTTATTGGTTGTTTTAAATAACATTACATAAGATTTTTGTGGAGACGTATCTATGAAATATCTATATTCAGAATTTACTGATGTCTGCTAAAAGATTGTTTATGTAACTAGCAAGGTAAAGAATTATGCTTTACAATTAAAAGGGGAAAAAATTACATACATTTTTTTTTAATGTATTCAGGTTAATGAAAATAAAATCACCATTATCGTACATTCAATCATTCAGATTTTTGAATAGTGTGTTCTCAACAAAAAAAAATTAGGAAAAATGTGATGGGGAGTACGTCTTGACTAGAGACCCCTGCCATTTTGAGGGGGGGGGTGTATGCACACTTTGAATTAAAATATATTATACATGAAGCTGTAATATAACACTCAAGACTTTATATTTACCTGGGACCTATATTCTAATCTACCAGTACATGTACACAGGTCCCTGTATTTACGTAATATTTACCAAAAATTTGACTGAATTGAAACACACACAGGAGCTATTCTAGCTAAAACATACATAAATGTTAACCTCTAGATATGTACATGTGTATAACGGAGGTGGGTGACTTTTATTGTTGATGCCAAGATCTGAGGATCGTTCCTGGCAGTCTAGCAATGATGTTAGTTCGTATCAAATAGTTCCTGTGTCAAGTACCTCATAGTTGTTGTCTTGATTCTGGTATACTTCTGGAACTAAATCAAATTCATAGAATGATAAGTACAATTTGTACTTGTACATTTATATGGTAATTTGGGGCTCATTTTTATCAAGTTTCAATTTATAAGCATACCCGACCGGAATTAAAGTACCAAGACTTTTTTTAAACATGTATTTGTGTGAAAATATTATTTTCGCGAGATCATCTCTTTGCGAAAATTTTATTCGTATTCGGAAGACGATAAGTGCCATTTAGAAAATATTTATCTGACGCCCTCAAATAATTTTCAGGCGCTCGCCATATAACGAATTGGTGGTCGACAGATAAAAAATTTATCGGCTTCCGCAGTATTTTGTTGTTGGCAAAAAAATTTTTTTTTCGCAATTATTTTTTCTTAAAAGGCGAAAGCAAAACTGTATATACGTGTCGCGCTATAAAATTAAAAATGAGGTCAGTCCCTCTGATATATACGCTCATTAAATACAACCGACTTATAGGAGGACCGACTTATAGGCGAGTATATACGGTACAAGAGGTCAAAACTGAAAGGCCGTCATTTATACTGACTGATATTTCTCTTTATTGATAAAAAAAATGCCCCTATGAGTTAAAACTTGTAAATTAATATTTATAATTACTAGTAAACAGGTATTTACATGTACTTTGATTCCAACATACGGCGAATTGCGAAACCGTTCAGAATTATAAAAGAATGTCCTTATTTTAGGTTTCAAAAAAAAATATTTTTTTTTGAAGAATGATGAAAATAATCAACAAAATCAAAATTTGAGATATGAAAATTACCCAAAGGTTATGTCTCATCATCGTTGTTTTGACTTTAATTAATAATTTAATATATTCACCAGTTCATCGCTGTTTATTGTTGTGGCAAGTCCATCCTGACGCAGCCAACCGTTTTGTTATTCAATTGTAATGATCCGAAAGGTGTGGTGATTTTATCGTTTAGACTTATAAACATGTATGGAGCATATAATTGCAATAATGCATTTCTGTTTTTAGAGTTTTAATATTATTCCCTTAAGATTTTTTGCCAAAAAGAGAGATTTTTTTCTATAAAGTTATACATATACCAGTGACATAATCTGTGGATAGTCATCAGATAAAGAACTTAAATAATTTGATGAATAAAATGGAATGAATAGTAGATTAAAAACTATCTAAATAAATAAAAATGAAATTAACTGCTAATAACAGACAGGAAGTATTAAGAGTGGAAAGCAGTAGGGTCTGCCCCCTTCCCCACGTTTTTTTTTCACAAAGAGGGCTTGTCCACACCACATTTCCCCAAAGATAGCCTTTATTATAGAATTCTTTCATCGAGAGACTATGATTACTGTTCATTGATTATCTCTTACTTTTTTATGTACATGTAGCATGGTGAATGTTAATTTGGTAATGTATAGATAATACTTGCTTAATTGTGAAAGTTAATCAACTCACAAGTAAAATTTATAAAATCATGTACATTGTAAGATCTATGTACGAGTTCTGCAGTTGTACTCCTTGAACTTTTTATTATGCAGTTTAAATACCAGTGATCAAGTGCATAATTCACGTATATCTCCCAGTCTAGTCAGAATTACACATGGAGCTGTTTTGTTAATTATTTCAGTGCGATAGACTTAATTCATACAATTTTAAGCGTTTCTATCGTCAGCTTATGAGCTTTCAACCGTAGCCTCAACCAAAATACCCACCCCGTCGGAAAATAAGAATTATCTTTTTAGTGTGTGTGGTGTGTGTGTGTGTGGGGGGGGGGGGGGGCTTGTATAGTGCGTGTACAGGTTCTCTATGATATTTCCCGTACTTTGTGTAGTGATGAGATAGATACTCCTGACACCTCTGCAGCTAATAAACTAGTAATTACATGTGAGTGCCGTCACTATTTTCGGATTAAAAATAGCAATATATACTCTTTCATTTTGGATACATTATTCGAACATACAAACCCGGGCTATGGATCTAAGACCATAAGCTAAACATGCGAGGAATAACGTTAAAATATCAAATCGGTAAAACGTGAAAAATAATTTCAAAATAAAAGAATGGGGTGAAGGGAGGGTTAATTTAAAAAAAACTTATTCCGGCCTATATTTTCGTAATATATGATTATTATGACAGATTTTTAAATTTCACATTAAAGGCAGAAAAAAATCTCAAGTGGCACCAACAATTGTCCAATCTGATTTAAAATCAGAATCTTTGATCCGCTCAGATAGATCCTTAAACCTTGTGTAGCGATCTATGTGAGCGGATCAAAGGACCTGAGCTATTCGGTACATTGGTAATTTTGGTATGCGTGCATTGAGTAGATCTTTTGTTGTGTGTTCCTATATTTAATTTAGATACAATTTTGCAGTGATTACTGATCCGTGCCAGTAAAAGTTACCTATGTTATTGATTTCATTGCAGAAATTGATTTTTTGATCAGCTGACGCAGATGGTCTGCTTTATTTAGTACGGGAAACCTTTTACTCAATCGATTTACCCTCGCATCCGCAGCCATAGCGTTTGTGTTGTCATGTGATGTTAGACGTTCTATTTTTATTCAATCTCTGGCAAGTCACCTGGAAATAAACAGGGTGAACTGGAAATTTGGGGGTAAGTCACTTGTTTTCATACAATTCCATTTATTTATCTTTTAAACGTTACATTTATCTCTTTGTGTAAGGAATTGGGGTCAAAACAACACACACACACGCACACATTTAGGTGACGGACGCTGGGTGCCCTATATGTGACTCATAGTACTGTAGTAGTAAACACAAAGGGATTTAAAGTGCATACAAGTTACTAGATTTAATGTGCGTAGATATATGGTATTAAATCAATTTCAGTGATCTACAAAATTTCTACTTGGTTAACGGATGTACTAGTGTTGGATTCAACAGGATAGAACAAGTTCATATTAGATGAGAGATCAATTCCTGGCCCATGTCAGCCACATTAAATGACTTTTTAGCGAGATTTGAAATGACAAACATATTAAATATATGACACAGGCTCACGTGAATCTGCTTTCCCATATACTTATGTGGTTTATTTCAAGTCAAGCACACTTCACAGCCGCGGAAGCTACAATAGCATCGAGGTCAAGAGAAATAGATGCGTGGATCTGTCCTTTATAACTGACGAGTATACCAGCTGGGCAATTTTACAGCTGATCCGTTGTAGTAATATAGGAGTCTATAACAAGGCAATTTGATACTTTTTCCTATGTTTCCTTTGTTTATTATTATCAAATCCATGACCGCCGTGACGTTTTGATTTAAACCAACTGTTGGCAGTTGTTTTATTTATTTACTCTGTGTTGTATATGTTCTTTCTCCAGAAAGTTCAAGGTCGGTCGGGGCGAGTTAATCCTCGGAGTAGGGGAGGAGTGGTCAGAAGCATGTGTGTTGGTCAGCTACTGCTTTACATGTACGCCAAAAGGGAAAACAGATGACAATCGGACTTAACGGAAAGGAGAGATCTCATCTGCTGGAATTTTGTCACTAATTAACAGTCGCCTTCCTGGAATTTCATCAGCACCTCTTTGTTAGCCCTGACGAGGAGTACGTACATGTTCTCGGTATGTTTCTCTGCTGTTACCATTACCATGTGCACTGTCAATATCGTGAATACTACAAATTACCACATACGTTTGTATATTGAAAGGCATGGAATTTTTTTCATGAACTTAAAAATGTTTTATCCTTTAAGTTTATCTTAAGTATTTATCCCCAAGTCTGAAAATACTTTGTTCTAGCAAAGGGGACAGCCCAGGACATGCTAATTTTAGAAACAGGTGTAATTCTGAAGATAATTTTCAATGTGCAAAATTAATACATGTGTACTGTATACACATTATTCAAGGTTAGCAATGTGAATGTGTGGAATGCATGCATTAATTCAGTTTTGTATTTAAATACTTCCATTTGATATGGCCTTTGTACCACAATCAAGGTATAAAAATGCATTACTTCCTGTAAAGGTTTTTTAAAATGCGCATGGTATGAGTAATCAGGTGTTTCCATTTCGATCAGCTGTTGGAAAGTAGGGCCACAGAAGGTTCTTAGAATCGTTACTATTTTAAAGGTAAGGACGCCTCAAAGTTTTTATTATGTCACTGAGGACAAAGCGTCGGGTTAACTTTACGTTTTTGATTTAAGAAGGATATATTTCCTTTTAGATGGGCAGCTTTTCTGAAAATCACTGAATCATCACAATTGAACTCTCACGTGGTTTTGAGTAAGTTGTAAACTACAGCATTATCAGCTGATGTAAAAGTGATAGTTATCGATTTATTGGTTTGTAGGTATAGTTATAGAAACCGAGAGGTACAAGCGGTTATTTTTTCCTTGTATTTAACCCCTTCCATCATGTAGAACAGACAAAGCCAGTGTAATACTGGTATCTCAAAACTTAAGACTATTTTTATCACAAATACCTCGAAATCATTACTTAGTTAAATTCTATTGAATTTAAAGAATGTCAGCTACCTGCTACATTTCATCGACTGTGGTTCATGGCGACACAGCAAAATAATAATCCGTACCCACAATTTTACCCGTTCCCACATATTTTCATTTTGTGAAATCAACCCTCAGGTGTGACCATCGTACTATTGGGGTCAAGGTGCAAGTCACTTAGACCAAGGGTTATCTAAATATGTTCATTATAAATGCACAACTATGCTATATCTGAATATTAAGTGAATCGATGTAAGTACTGTGAAAAATAGGGCAGCATATCATTTTGCTTAATTAGTAATTTAGTATCATTACTTTTATCATATACATTTACCAGCAAAATGTAAATGGAATTTATGAGTATATTAAACATTGAAAAAAACATAAATGAAAATTCTGCAGTTTTTTTTTTCGATATTCATAGTGCACACTGTATATACTATACAGTATTAGGTTGTGTTCTATTTATTTATTTGGTGGGCTGCGGTGGGGGTTAAGCTATATAATGATTTTGCCAATTTAGACTACAATTATACAAAAACTGAGAATTTAATAATAGATAGCATCATTCAAAGCAAATGTGCATTAAGAACTTTTTCACTAGTGTTCACATGATATAATTAACAATTCATTTTACAAAACTTTCATAAAGATATTGCAGATATATTTTTACCGTCAAAAAATTATCTACTAGTATCGGTTTTAATTCATGTGTGAACTGAAATACAGTTTGAATAATTGAATAACACTATGTCCTTGGCAAGAGACATGAAAGCAAAATAAATTGCCTGTCTTATCTAAGATAAAAGGATCGATTTTTAAGGTTTTCCTGTTTTATTTTTAGATAATGATTGACAAGAAAAGACCACAAAATACAGTATACCTTGAGTAAACAAAAACAAAACTTGTCACCATGTCCAGCGAGAAAAAGCGCCATGAGTCGGGAGAGTCCTACGAATCTACGGACAGTGTGGGGGACCTGATCCCCACCCCACCGGACGGAGGGTGGGGCTGGGTGATCGTGTTCAGTTCCCTGATGTGTAACATCATTGTTGATGGTATAGGGTACGCTTTTGGAGTCCTTCTCCCCCAGTGGGTGGAAGTTTTCAACGAGTCCCACGGGAAGGTATCGCTGGTGGGGTCGCTACTTGTGGGGGTCTATTTATGTGCAGGTTGGTTTTAATATACGCTGTTTTTTTTAAGTCATTCTAAGATACATGTAACTTTTTTTTCAATATGTTCCAAAATAAAAATCATATACTGAGAAGTTCATATAGTCATTCAGTAATTTCATTGCATAAAAACCTCAATGTTCGAATACATATACAAAGTACTACTTTCTAAAACTCTCAAACTCTAGAAAAGTGGTATGTTGAATACTAGTATATGCAAATATTCAACATTTGGAAATATTAGGAACCTGGGGCCTGTTTTACAAAAGAACTTACGACTATGATCAAAAACTTTAGATTGTTGTAATGCTTTGCAAAATCAAAATATGCAAATATTCAACAAAAATTTGGATAATGTTTTTTAAAAAGTTATATGAAGAATTAAACCTGAACTTTTCCGAACTTTTCCGAGTATTAAATTTCATTTCAGGTCCCTTGGTCAGTGGTTTAACAAACAAGTTTGGATGCAGACCCGTGGCGTTTGCCGGAAGTTGTTTAGCTTGTTTGGGATTCCTATTGGCGGCCTTCAGTAGCAGTATCAATGTGCTAATGTTGACCTATGGAATCATGGGAGGTAAAGCTGACTGTGCAAGCAAACTGGAACGCTTTTTTTCTCTCAATTATTGGGTTTTATTATGTTTATTAGTTGACTTATTTATTTTTGTAGGTTTGGGATTTGGTTTAATCTATTTGCCTGCCATAGTGAGTGTTGGTTTCTACTTCGAGAAAAAGCGCGCCATAGCGACTGGAATAGCCGTTTCCGGTTCTGGAATTGGTACTTTTATATTTGCGCCCGCAAACGCTGCTATGCTAGAAGCATATGATTGGAAGTTTATGTTAGTGATTCACGCCGGCATTATTCTAAATGGATGCGTTTGTGCAATGGTTATGAGACCCCTCGAACCTCCCAAAAGAAAGAAGAAGAAAAAGCCAAAAATCAGAGCGAAGACAATGATTGATCGTGTAAAAGAAAGAGCCATAGCGAATCGAAATCGAGCTGGTGAATCCGAATCCAGTGTTCAAATTGGAGAAAGTTTTGCAAAATTGCAAGAAGCTAAAAGATTGCGTGAAGAAAGATTAAAGGAGGAGGGGTCAGATATTTTGTCCATGCCAAGTGCTTACTTCGAAAAAACAAACAAGCTATCTTTTTCAGAAGCAGGGGAGAGTTATTGTGGAAGCCCTGTCGCAGATATTCCAAAAATAACATTCAGTGGCATTGACGGGAAAGAGATTTCGTCACCAGAATCTCCACAGTCTGAAAAACCCGACGCTAAGAGTGCTTCAAAAGAAGAAGTTCGGAGAAAATCCGGAGAGGAAGAAGCAACGAATAAAGACGTGAAAGATGCAAACATCCTTAAAGGAGTTTATAGCCACGAGGTGGAGCCACTTATCGAAAATGGGTACGCTAAAGTTGCTCCACGCCAAGCAAAAGACTTTTCTTCTGCTGCTAGACTTCGTATGGGATCCCAGCATAATATAGAGAAAAAAGACTACGCTAGACCCATGTACAGACAAGATATCTTCTATAGTGGAAGCGTAAATAAAATCCCACAATTTACGTCCCAACCAGACATGCACACTTACATTACTAGTATAACAACAATACCCGGAGAGATCGAGGTCCCGCCATCTTCAGTGTGGGATCATTGCACGTGTTTGCCAAAATCCATTGTAGACACTTTACGTGACATGTTAGATTTCTCAATATTAAAAGATGTTCCTTTTGTGTTGATTTGTGTTGGAAACTTATTCGCAATGGTTGGATTTTATGTTCCTTTTACGTACCTGGTTGATCATGCTTTGGAACAGAATGTTTCAAAGTCAGATGCAGCTTTTCTCTTGTCTGTGATTGGTGAGTGATTATATAAATATCCACAAGAGACCGAATTAGTTTAAATATATCTACTGAATCTTTTCCATACTAGATTCAGTTTCTCAATAGAAAACGAATATATAAAATATTTAAGTTGAAGAAAATTTAGTTTTATACTATGCGAGAGAAGCTTTCCCAAAGATGAAAATTTGTAAAAGGGAGATAACATAAATTTTATAATTAATCACTTTAGATTTACCTTTCTGAAGGCAATTTTACTGGAACTAAAAAAAATACCAAAATGACAATCCAATTATAATTTTCATGCATTGTAAATTTCTGACCAGCACGGACAAACACAATGATGGCTTTTTTCAGGTATCACGAACACCGTTGGTCGAATTCTGTCGGGAGTTTTAGCAGATTTGACTAAGGTGGACGCTTTGATAATAAACAACGTTGCTTTGGTGATTAGCGCGGTGCTGCTCTTCCTAGAACCCTTTTGTACTACGTACCCTTTGCTTGTTCTTTTTGCAGCTCTCTACGGTTTATGTGTTTGTAAGTTTTCAATAAAAAAAAAATAACATTTTCACTAAAAAATTTCTAACCAGTGAAGCGTACCGAAAATGGCAAAATTAAAATTTATCGGAAATAGCAGAGAAAAAAGATGCATTTTTTGCTACAATTTACTCATGTATGTATAATATAAATGAAAGTAACATTTTTATAGAATATTCTTGTAGAAAACGTATTGCAATTAACCATTCATAAATTTCACGTCATGTATTTCAGCTGCATATATTTCATTGACCTCCATTATCATTTGTGATCTTATTGGTCTGGAGAAACTGACCAATGCATTTGGTATGTTAACGCTGGCCAGAGGGACGTCCTCTATTTACGGACCCCCACTCGCAGGTACGTAGGATGTATGTCAAGCTTTAAAGAAAAGAGAAGGAACGCCTGAGTACATTTAGGCCAATTGACAATAAACTTTTTTTTTTTTTAAATTGGAAATACTTGTATTTCAACAAACACGATTGTTTTCTCACCAAAGTAAAACAAAAGTAAAAGTTGCAAGTGAATTATGAAAAGAAATATTTCAAATGCGCCTGTTTAATTCCTCTTTCCTGAAGATGTTTAAAGATTTTAGAAACATTTTTTTCAAATTCGAATTAACTTCAAATATTAATTTGCTGCTAAGGAATGAGTTCCTCTAATGTGAATTACCACTCTCCTTTATTGCAGGTGCCATACGGGAGGCCACGGATAGCTACAACTACTCTTTTTACCTGGGAGGCGGAATGTTCGTTATCGGGGCAATCTTTCATCTAATGCTACATTTACCGTGCATCAAACGGAAAGGGCTGCAGGAACTCACGGGGGCTGACCTTGATGTACCAGAAGAGGAAACTCCTGTCGCTGTGTAGATCACTGTAGTCAACAAGAAAAGTTTTGAAGCAATATTTTTGAGTCGGATATATAGGCATTGTTGATATGGTTTTAAGCGCTTGTTTTGTTAGTGAGAGTGTATAATTTCCATACAGTAAAAGTAGTTTATTTTCTTTTTATGTTCAACTTATGAGTTGAATATCATCAACACGAGAACAAAATAACTTGAAATGGTGATTTATAGACAAAGTGAACACATTTATTGAATGTGGCATTTTACCAAAGTTGGTATATACTGTCTTTGCTCTTTTGTTTTGAATTCCAGAAATTTAAGTGTTTTTTTTTGTTTGTGTCTCTACTTGTTGTTGTCTAATATTTTGTTTTGTGGCAGGTCTTATTTTTTTCAATAATTTGTCCTGTTACAAAAATCTACTTACATTGCTTTTTATGCCCCCCTTCGAAGAATGGAGGGCATATTGCTTTGCTGCTGTCTGTCGGTCAGTCTGTCGGTCCACTTAGTTTCTGTTCATTTTCTTCACAACCATTGCACATACTGAAATGAAATTTGGTATACAGATATATCACATGAATATCTAGGCCATTTTCTGTTTTGGGTACGATCGCACTATTTTTCACAGAGTTATGCCCCTTGGACTTGAAAAATTTCAATTATTTGCAGTTTTTAATTTTTTTTATTGCACATACTGAGATGAAATTTAGTATACAGATATATCACATGAATATCTGGTGTGTTTATTTGCACTATTTTTTTATGCCCCTTGACTTAGAAAAATTTCAATTATTTGCAGGTTCATTTTCTTCAAAACCATTGCACATACTGAGATGAAATTTAGTATACAGATTAATCAGATGAATATCTAAATCAATTTTTTTGTTATTTGACCATTTTTCACAGAGTTATTTTTTTAAAAAATGATTATTTGCAGTTTCCATTCATTTTCTTCACAACCGTTGCACATACTGAGATGAAATTTAGTATACAGATTAATCAGATGAATATCTAAATCAAGTTCTGTTTTGGGTATGAATCGCACCATTTTTCACAGAGTTATGCCCCTTGGACTTAGAAAAATTTCAATTCTTTGCAGTTTACGTTCATTTTCTTCACAACTGTTGCACATACTGAGATGAAATTTAGTATACAGATTAATCAGATGAATATCTAAATCAAGTTCTGTTTTGGGTAGTTTAACCACTTTTCACAGAGTTATGTGTGACTTAGAACAATTTCAATTATTTGCAGTTTCAGTTCATTTTCTTCACAACTGTTCAAATACTGAGATGAAATTTAGTATACAGATTTATCAGATGAATATCTAGGTCAAATTTTGTTCTATGTACTATCGTGCCATTTTTGACAGAGTTTTGCCACTTGGGCTTGGAAAAATTCCAATTTGGGGGGAGGGGGGCATAAGTGTTTTACAAACATCTCTTGTTACTTTATAAATCTCAGAAGTCATATTTTAGAAGAACCATGTCCCCTGACTTAGTATTGTGGTGTTAACACCAACAGTGAACAAAAACTGAGTCAGGTAACTCATTTTAATTTTCAATATTGGAATTCAAGAACATTTTTTCATCAATTGAAATCGAGCGTTTTTAATGTTATTTTTATTTTACTCGGGTGCAAAGAATCTTTTTTTATGGTGTGTTTATTTGTATTTTTCTGTTAAATACAAAGCAGGCCTTGTTCATTTGCAAAGAAAGCATGTTAATTCGGCCTTCTTTAATTTTTATGCCATTTAACTTTTTTTTTTATTTTTAAAATGTTTTAACTCATAGCTTTTTACATTATATGAACAGAGAACATATAAATATTTTATCAGATCTGTATTATATGAAGAACCGCACCCAACTGCCAGAATGTTGCTCTGTATACTAGTATGTTACTGAATTATGAACAGTAGGAGAGAGTAAAAGAAGTTTCTTGTGGTGTAGTTTAATCATTTTATATGTGTGCGCAAATTTATTTTATTATATACAATCATTGACAAAAAATGCTGGAGGCAATTACAACAGTTCAAAATTCTTATCTTGTTTTTATACTTTGGCTTTGTATAAGGGTATTCCTCACACTGGCTGTAAACATTTGGACCATAAAGACAAAATTATTAACAAAAGGCCCCCGCACCCTTTCCCGAAATAGAATTTTTGATTATGACTAAAAAAGCCGATATACCGGTTAAGTATGATTAATTCGGTTTAAGTTAGTTTTCTAAGCAAAGGCTCATAATTATAATCTTTCTGATCTGTTTGTCCGTCGTCCACCAGTGTATGGTAAGGTACGAATCGGTTATGTATGATGTAAAGATTGAAGATTGACTGCATGTTTAACATCCCGGGCCTTTCGAAAATTTTTCACTCATAATGGAAACGCTACCACTTGCCGGTGGAGAGCTACAAATTTTGTCCTTTATTTAGCTCTCGAGGCCATTGAGCAGTGAGGAATCTTTTTCGTGCCAGGACCTGCTGCGACACGGAACCTCGGTTTGTACGGTCTCATTCGAAGAAGACCCCACTTCCCACAGAGGGATTCAAACCCGCGACCTTAGGATCTACTCTTTATTAGCAGACGCTCTAGCCACTGCGCAGCGCGGGAGACTTAAGTATGGAACATATAAAACAAATTACCGGTATCAAATTAATATGGAAACATGCATTTTTTTCAAAATTAAATGTATTTCAGTTCTGTTTAAACCAGTGATCAAATTTTGCATACGTAGTGCATGTATTGGAATTTTAAAAAAAATCTCTAGTTGAGCAAACCTTTAGACATATTGACACCGAGGATTCTTAATGTTAAGATCATTTCTAAGTTCTGTAAAGTTTTTTTTTCAAATCCCTTGAGGCTATGCAATGGATCACAGAATGATGTTGAAGTTCATGGGAATGAAGAGGAAAAACTTGACCTATAGCTTCATGACCATTAATTGGACTCGGGTGCGCTTTGTGGACCATATGGGTGTTTTAATGTTTTCGAAATCAAAGGGCTTTTCGTAATACTTTGAATCTTCTGAACGTGAAATGTAGATATCTGCTTTGCTGTAGGTAAGTATATTTCAACCATGACTATCAACCCTGTCAAATCCCTGGAAGTGATGTGATGCGCCTGATTAAGTTGATTCGATTCCTGCTGACTTTGGTGGGAGGCTGTTTGGGGTGCCTTGCTGGTTAATCCTTTACCCGTATTTAATATAGGTTTCGGATAAATTTGACAAACTATATTTGGTAAACAGGATTATACACTTATTCTAAAAGCGATACCTTACAGACATTTATATATCAAGTATTTAAAATTAATGTAAATCCCACATCTTTCTGTGATGTTGAATTATGTTTACCAAAATAAAAAGAAATTAAAAACTTGTCTTTAAAATACGAGTCATTTCAAATTACAGAAGTGCATGCTCCACCTCTACACGTTATGTAGATTCATCATATTATATTTACATTTCCAATGTCTTTGTCCGAGATAAAACTACCAATTGTAAATGTAATTTATTTCCTCATGAATGTCTTGGCGCGGTTCCAAAAAAAACACGTGCAGGGCGGGACAACACCTAGAGAGAAGCAGGCTTGGAGCCCGTGGATTGGCGGAATCAAAGCATGTAAATATAAGGAATAACTGTCAGATTTTTCGAATTCATGAAGATGATCAATGGATTGGCTTGTGTGATAATTTTATGCATAAACGCCTTCGGCGTTTATGCAAATTAACACACAAGCCAATCCATTGATCACTTCATGAATTCGAAAAATAAGACAGTTATTCCTTAAATATCGTATGTACCTGAAGTGTGGATTCCCCGCCAAAACATTACCAAAATAGTAATATAATTTCTCATAAAAAGTCTTATTAACCCGTCAATTACACATTATATAACGTTTAGAGATTTACTATTCAAGCATGCGTTGCAACTGGAAGATAATTCTCATTCAATCATTAGTTCCTTATAGTTTTTGTCAATAAAAGGAATAGATGCTGGAAACATTTTTAATTCAGTCCTGCATTTTACCTTACATTTCAATTTGAAATGTATACATTTAAGTGGGCACGGACACAGTTCCAGCTGAATTTAAAAAAAAAAGATTCCTAACGCGATTCTAATGATCAGCAAAAATTGAACATCATTTGTTGATTTACATGTACAAAGGAGATACAGAGCTTAAAATTCTTCTTAATGTAAACAATGTTCGTCCTTGTTTTTGTTTACATATAGAAAATATATTTATAAGTTGACAAAATGAGATTCAGCAAATCACAAGGAACCGTGTAATCGTATTAAAACTTGACTTCCTTATTTAAAAAATCTGCTTTGAATGAACATTTATTAGTATATTTCGCCTACGTAAAAAAAATGGCACGAGTTTTCTTTACTTATCAAACGTTTGCAGATGTAAATCTGTCTTGTATAATTTCGACCAATGAAATCAAAATGTTTGATGATCATTATAAATACCTTAGTTCAGTATTTGTTAATTAAATAAAAAGATTGGAAAATATATAAAAATTATTTTAGCTGAAACTGTGTCCATGCCTCTTTAAAACAGTTTCTTTCAAACATTTCAATTAAAAACAAACATTACAATACCTCTATATTTCAACATTTAAAGCAAAATTCTCTCATATTCCTCCTCGTCTTCAATAGATAGATTACATGATCAGTGTGCACTGGTCCCTGCTGACAAACAGGTAACAACATTGTCTTCGTTTGTATATAAATGGTGTTTTAGAAGAACTTGGATTTAGTTCTACAAGTGGTCATCCAACTTATACCCATAGTTCTCTTTCTAAGGAAGAAAATTCTTCAAATCATATGTCAGTTTTGATTTTTTTAAATATCCTAAACATCCAAAATGAATTTGAATTACCATATCTATATTGGATTCCAAAACTTCACACAAATCATTACAAAGATACCTAGCGGATTCCAGTAAATGCTCAATCAAGCCTCTTTCTCTACTAAAGCAGTAAATAAATATATATACATGTTATAATTACTAACAAATCTCCTCAGTTAACAGTGGTGAAGGAAAAACTTCAAAAATACTGTGCAACAATATATTCGAGAAATGGTGTAAACCAGATGTGGATACTTAAAAATTCCTAGGACCCTTTGGACAATATTTGAAATCACAAGCTTTACCAAAATCAACAGCTTAAAAATATGTATGTTCGTACTTGTTCAACTTTAACAAACCATCCAAAGTCCAGGATTTTTTATATCATTGACAGCTTCCTTTGGAACTCGTAATTTAACTTGTCACTGGTCGTTTGCAAAATTATTTGTTAAAAACATTCTGATAGTACACACAAGTACTCTGAAGTTGACATCAAATAGATGCTCGAGTTTCTGATTGACGATATCTATGTCGTTTTTGGAGAAGGTATATT